CACCATCAGTATCCGCTTGAATTGACGTATGGGTCTACGCTGCCGTCGTTTGACATCGCCTATGAAACATGGGGCATACTCTCTCCATCTCGGGACAACGTAATTTTACTGCATACTGGTCTCTCGGCATCTTCGCATGCCGCCTCTACGGAGCTTAACCCGACAGAGGGCTGGTGGGAAAAGTTCATCGGCCCAGGACGTGCACTCGACACCAATAATTTTTTCGTAATATGCACAAACGTGCTGGGAGGATGTTATGGCTCCACAGGTCCTTCCTCACTTGATCCAGAAGGTCAACGATATGCAACCCGATTCCCGATCATATCTATCTTTGATATGGTGCAAGCCCAATTTAAGCTGCTTGACCATCTGGGCGTGCAAAAGTTGTATGCCAGTGTTGGCTCATCCATGGGCGGGATGCAAAGTCTTGCTGCAGGATGGCTCTTCCCAGATCGTGTGGGCAAGATAGTGAGCATTAGTGGTACCGCCAGGAGCAGCCCAGGTAGCATTGCAATGCGTCATGCTCAACGAAGCGGTCTGTTGTTCATCGGATATCTTGCAATATATTTCCTGGCTAAACATCACATTAGTTCTTATGGCCGATTCAAATTGGAATAATGGCTTTTATTACGACAACCTACCACCGCATACAGGAATGAAATTAGCCCGTCGTAAGTTTCGTTCAGTTTCACGGTTCATATCATAAAGTTACAAATATTGGTCATACAGAAATAGCAACCATAACATATCGCTCAGGTCCTGAATGGGACCAACGATTTGGAAGGAAACTTCGGGAACTGAAAGATGGACAGAGCCCGTCTCCGTCGCGGTCGCCAACACTTTGTCCTGACTTCCTTATCGAAACCTATTTAGATCATCAGGTCAGTGCCTACCTACCTCAATCACCTTTCAGCTAAACTCACCGAAAGTTATCATGTAGGGAGAGCAATTCTGCCTGAAGTACGATGCCAATTCTCTCCTTTACATCTCAAAGGCAATGGATCTCTTTGACCTTACCCTTCCTGCTCTCCAAGAGCTTGCAATGACCACCACAACACATGCTCCGCCATCACCGTTAACGTCATCGTCTTCTTCTCGGCAATCTCCGGTACCGTCTAAGTCTCATCCACCACCATTGCATTACGCACCTCACTTTCCCGAACTTTCTGCTGGCCTTGAGCCGCTCAAATCGATACCCATTCTGGTGCTTGGGGTTCAGAGCGATATTCTTTTCCCAGTCGAGCAGCAGCGTGAGCTCGTCGATGCACTTCGTATGGCTGGCAGTACGCAAGTCAGCTACTTTGAGCTTGGTGGGGTCTGGGGACATGATACCTTTTTGTGAGTATTACTCCTTCACCTTTGAGTTGGCTCGATTGGGTGGCCGTGGTGTGGCCGCATTTGTCCGGACTTGTATAGCCTCCCCAATCAGAGCTCGAACCTTCATGGTGCCTCGTGCACCGCTTTGCGGGGGCAATTGCAGTGTTATCGCCGCTTATTGTTTTATTTTCCCAGCGTGTTTCAGTTAGACTGGTTTACTGACTGCCCGTATTCCGTTCTACCACAGACTCGACGTATTGAACGTTGGAGGGGCGGTGAGGGGGTTCCTATCTTAAGCTCGTCCTCGGGATGTTATTTCACCACGGTCGCCGGTGTTTTCATATTGCGCCGTTTGATCGGTGCAACGTTTGTGAGTTGTGAGGGTACTTGCTAAGAAGTTCTAGTCCTCAGGGAGTACTTATGTCAGTCCTACTAGCTGTTTTAATATTCGGATCATGATCAATGCTATGGAATTCTTCAACTTCTAATACTCGCGGTCTCGCACCTAACTTAAATGTTGGTCTCAAAGTATGTGGGCAGTGCAGACAAACCAACACTGCCGGGGGGTTATTATTCTAGTCCCAAACATTATAACCTAGCCGTTTGTAGAACAATCTCAAAAAAGTAAACATAAGTCGGGAAGTCAAACCAACGAACTTTCAACTTCCGATGATCAATGATGTTCCTACCATGAGACGTTATACGCCTAGAATTTCATGGTATCTGACCGAACGTTGAAATTCAAACAATGCTTCCTTGTTTTATTTTTGACGATTGGTCTAGTAATGTTCTGCAAATGGCTGTATTTATTTTACGATACCTTCCCTGCGCCCACAGTCGCCACCTTCAAAGCTAAACTTTATTCCTTAGATCGACAGACGGGGAATAAGCCCGACCATCGCACCATTAATTTGACATGCAAAATGTAATACTACGAGCATCTGCGTTTGGGGCGTTCGGGCATAATCGAGTCATTGAGAGCCACATACGATCAGCGTCACGGCATGCCAGCATGCCACACTGGCACTTGAGGGTTTTGCCTAATTTTCGGAGCATCAAAACACTAGCAAATCGGATATGAACTTTTTTGAGGAGGAAACAAAGTTAAGTTTGTGAAGGCATAAAATGGGCAGGGTTGCGTGGCGTATCGGTGGAGCGCCATAAAATAGTATAAAAAAAAGAACGTATTTTATAAAAATCGGGGTGAGCTCATCCGTGAGGAGGTCCGGAAACATGCAGACGCTAAGCGAATGCGGAAGCATTTCGGTTTACGTTCCGTTGATGAAATATATGGAGAAGATAAGAGGTGAGGCGTTGGGTGGTCCTGCAATTTCCTCTTCTCTCTGGGCCCCCTTGGTCTTAGGCGCACATTGGATTCGGGGCGCGGCGAACACTAGCAAAATGAACGGTAAGGAACTTATTATTCAGATGGCACAGCAGTAACAGCACCTCCCGCCTTGTGATAACCCAGGATTTTGTCGGAATATCGGGGGGGTCCATGGAGTTTTAAATAAGGTATATTTTGGCGCAACAATTTTCTGGGTGGAATAGCTGACAAGCCATTGGACAACTGGCAAAGGGTTCAAGGTTACGAAGCTTGAAGTAATTTGTTTTACCATATGGAAGCCGTAAATTAACCAAGTTAGCACAGGAGAAAAGCCACGCCTTGCCACATATACTCCCAGCGTTACGCGGCCTCCGACAACAAAACATTGGGCGTCAGCCCTTCTCGACAAAACGCGTTATTTGATTCCCTTTGCGACATACCAGCATGTTGGCTAAAAAATTAATTAACTGACTGACCACCTCGTGTTATCCAGCGGTATAAAATACTTGTCTGAGGTTGACTTCCCTCATCGCAATGTCCACCTTTTCCCCTCAAGTCAATATCCCCGCGCTGAAGAAATTTGCCGTCACAGCTGCAGCGAAGCAGCATCCGGTCAAAACGACAGGTAGACGGCACCCGCAGGTGCCAACCCCAGTGGTGGCGAGCGTCGAAGACGTCAAATGGGCTGGAGAAAAGGTCAGGTTGATCATTTCCAAATAACCATCCGAACCTTACCATTGCTCTGTACGGTGTACAGATGATTCAAATTACGTTCGAACGCACCTCCATACCTCTTGGGCCATACATCATGATGGCGTATTTTCCTCGCGGACGCCAGAGGCTAACAACGCAGGCTGTGGTGCGCCACGCAAAAGTGCCCATCAATGGGCTGCGCGTACTTACCCCACTCCCAACAGTTAGGCATGATGGCTGCTGTCAGGAATTCGACCTTGAAGATCGAGGTGCCCAAAATCTATGGGTACAAGGACCTCCTACCCAATGACATCGGAGCTGAAGTAGTCCTCATGGAAAAGGTAGCGTGTGCCGACTACTCGACAGGAGCTCTGCTACATCTTCATACTTTGCGCACAGATATCCGGGGAAAATCTTCAGGATGTGTGGCCCACCCTTACGCCCGACGAGGAGCTCAAAGTCTGTAGCAAGCTGGCCGACCTGCTGTTGAAGTTGTTCAACACCCGCGGAAACCTGATTTGCACCGACCTTCTTGGTACAGGCATCGATACCTCCACGTTCAGTGCCATCCTACAGGAAGGACAGCAAAACCAGAACCCTAACGGGCTCTCGCCATTGATTTTATCGCGCCCGTTCAACGAGCCACCACTGGATAGAATGATCCCACAATTTGCACTATCCACTAACGCTGACTATCTGACAGCACTATGCTGGCGCGTTGGACGCCTTTGCGGTAGCGCTGAGGATGTCATCGCTCGAGCCCGTGACACAGGATTTGCAGATAATCCTCTACTAACAATAGAAGACATGGTGCAAGCCAGAGAAACATTCAGACGGCTGGCCAGCATAATCCCACATCATATCGGAGGATTCTACATCCCAGGAACGCTCTCTCGCGAAGCGAGGGACGAGGCCTATTCGATTCTGCAACACAGGAAATTTGGTGTCTGCCATGGTGACATGCAGATGTACCGTTTCCTCATCCGGTTCCTGCCAGATAAAGATGGGGAACTTCGTACTCCCAGCTCAGATGTCGAGCTCGTGCTTTGCACGGGGTGGGAATACGCATTCCGTGCGCCACTTTGGTCATGCGCGCGCATGCCACTCTGGCTAATCAGCCGGCCAATCTTGAACGAGCCCATTTCCTGGGACCGCCAAAGACAATTGCGTAATGTCATCTACGACATGATGAATGAGCCCAGTAGAATAGAGAACGCCCGGGAGTGGATCATTTCGCACGTATACGGACGTACCGAGCGGTGGTTCGAGGGATGCGCCAGCGCGCATTGGATGTACAGTCGGAACATTGAAGCGAATTTGGTGGACCTCAAGAAGTATTGGGGATTTTGGCGTCCAGACATCGAGCTCCCGTTCCAGGTGGGAGTGGAGTACACTGGACAACGGCAGGCTCTATCACATGGGTCGGCAGACGAACCCATCATCGCACCTGTCACTGAAGAATTGGCTACTCCTCTCCTTTCTGCGAGCCCTCTTGGAATTTTGCTTGGAATGGGTAGATCTTGAAACGCATGTGATCTCGAAGCTGACATTGGAATGTCTCCTGTTAAATTGTATTGTGTACGAAGGTCAATGGGTTGTACTATGTCGGATATCTCCTCACAGAATCTTTCATGCACTTCAATGAAGATCATTTTGCACGCGGGCGAGCAAATACTAGTGCCTTCGTTAGAGATAGAAGAGACGGACAAGGTCAATACATTAAAAGTCTGGGGCCCTTTACAGACAGTACTTTGCGGACGTGCCAGTTCGCGACGTATGCAGACCCCAGGAACTCTGTATGAGGAATTTCCACATACCCGCTTTTGGATATTACTATATACCTTCACGTCGAAGTACTACGCAGTAGTACTAACCATCCCCTTCCATTCTGCCTTTACCACCTGTGCATAGTTGATCATGAATCGCATATTCGGCTCTTCTTCAACCAAGAAGCCAAAGTCGACCCTCCAGGATGCTATCAACGCAGTGAGTAGGCTGTCGTCGTAACCAAGCTCAGACTAACTCACTGACATCAGACAGATGCACGCGTTGCCTCCGTAGAAGTAAAGATCAGGAAGTTAGATGGGGAGCTCTTGCGCTATAAGGAGCAAATGAGCAAACTGCGCAGTGGACCTGGTAAAGTACGCGAACACCTCGCCTGGTGCTGCGCTTGCTAATTAATCAATTGCGTCATACGTGTGCACGACACAGAATGCGATCCAACAACGAGCTTTGAGAGTACTGCAACAGAAGAAGCTGTATGAGGGGCAACTGAACCAGCTCCAGCAGCAGACATTCAATATGGAGTCCGCTGCTCTCACCACCGATAACCTACGGAATACGATGGCCACTGTGGATGCCATGAAACTGGCGAACAAGGAGATGCGTAAACAGTACGGAAAGATTGATATCGACAAGATTGAGGTGTGTCTCATGTTTTATGCTGCTATCAAGTGGCTCATTTATTACTATTAGAATATGCATTATGATATGGAAGAGCTTCTGGAACAGGCAAATGAGATACAAGAGTCACTAGGTCGGTCATACGCCGTTCCAGATGAGATTGACGAAGCAGATCTTGAGGCTGGTACGTACACGCATTGCTTTTGATCTTGGTCATTTCGAAACGTCATAATCATCGCAGAATTGGATGCCTTACAGCTCGAGGAAGAGGAAGAAGGTCCCTCATATCTTGCAGACCTCAACAAGGTCCCAGATTTCCTCGATGATACTCCTGTAGAGACAAGCGAGGTATGTCCAACGATCAATTCATTGACATATTCAACTCAACTTGATTGAACAGCCAGCCACAAAGGAGGCCGTTAAGACTACATGATGGGCTTTCGAAGCTTATATTGTGCCTGTCTCCTTAAAGACGAGTAAACATGTATCCTGCGGTAATAATGTACACTAGTAAATCCTACACATACCACCACTTCATAGAGAATGACAAGATAATCTGCTCCGCCGCGAACACCACATCAGCCATATCTCTTCTGTTCGCCGCTAAACCAGTCGTCAGTTTGAGACTCATCAGCCGACGCCACATTAACGATGATCGATTTGCTCTGAGAGTCTGTATGACATGTTGAGTCAAACATTTGTTAATCGAGCTAGCTAGACTCACAAGCTTCCAATGCCTCGATGCCATTTTCCCGACCTATACCACTCTCCTTCATACCACCCCTTACATGCCACCATGAGATTGTGCAATGATGATCATTGGCTGAGTCACTCACCATGGCGAGCTTGGGTCATTGCGGTGATGCGTGTTTACCCAAACAAGACCAGCATCAATATCAGCAGCAACTCGATGTGCTCTTGACAGATCCTGAGTCCAGACTCCCGCTCCCAGTCCGTACTTGGAAGCGTTGGCAAGTCTAACTCCCTCGGATTCAGTCTGGGGGTAAACTAAGCGTCAAAGAGCCTGGCTCGCATCCTGATACAACTCACTGAGAACTTTTTCACGACTACCACAGGGCCAAAAATCTCCTCTTGCCATAACTCATCACTGACATCAACATCAGAGATCACGGTAGGCGGGTAGAAGCTCCCGCGAGAGAAATCGAAATGGTCGAGGAGGGACTTCCCCAGCATTCGCTTTCCACCCGTGAGAACTGTGCCTGATTGCCGTCGTGCTACCATGTCATCGATTCTATTCAGGTGGTGGGGAGATATAATTGAGCCCATAGAACATCTTTCGTTCATAGCTTCGAGAGACATTATTCATGAGTACTGAAGGCATGATGTACGACTCACGGTCACCCATTCCCTGTGTGATACTTTCGACTTTCTTCAAGAATTCCATCATGAAAGATTCGTATATATTTTCCTGTATGATGATGCGGGTTCCCGAGACACATGTTTGGCCGGACGCAATGAATGAGGCAAACGCGACCCCATTGACAGCAGAAATAACATCTGCATCATCGAAGATAAGTATCGGGGCCTGGTACAGATGAGAACGAATCCTCCAGTTCGACAATAGACTATGTAGTGCTGACCTTTCCTCCCAGCTCAGCTGTAAAGGCCGAGAGGTTCGAGCCAACGATGGCTCCCAGTGCCCGACCAGTCCGGGTACCAGCCTAGATCTGCGGTGAGCAGAAGACGGTGCATGAGAGTAAGAACGTACTGTGATGTCGACCTTTCGAACGAGAGGATGAGTTGCAAGTTGCTTGCCCGTGGTATGGCCATAGCCAGGGAGGATAGTCAAAACCCCGTCAGGAACTTGGTTAAGATTTCAGCACATGTACAAGTAATTCATCAGTGGTTGTACTTACGGCCAGCTTCTTGAGTTAGGTTTGCAAACTCCAGTAGGGATATGGGGGTAAGCTGATTTTGGTGAGTGCCATATCGATGAAAGACAGTATAATTTATAAACCTCAGATGGTTTGACGATGACACTGTTGCCAGCGGCAAGAGCTGGAACAATCTTCTTGATGGCAATGAAAAGAGGATGATTAAAAGGCTAAACGAGACTTCGGTGAGGTGATAAGTCAGAGATGGCAGAAAACGCACAGTGATCTGTGCCACGACTCCCAGAGGAATGCGTTGAACATAATTAAGCAACTTCCCTTGAGCAGGGGCAACGAATCCTTGGTTCGTGCGTAGAAGTGCTGCATAATAGCTCCTACTCAGTGTCAGACCACGGTCATAATTTTCAAAATAACTACTGACAGCCATTCAGGAAGACGGGCCATTTGTGCATTCATTTCGCGGATAGGCCTCCCAGTTTGCAGAGTATCTATTCGGGCCATGTCAGGGATGCGTTGCTGAAGAGAGACCGCTAGCCGCGACCGGACAGATGCACGATGTATTGATGAAGCCTTTGACCATATCCCAGAGTCAAACGTGGTCTGGGCATGAGATACGGCCCATTCAACCTCTTCGGACGATGCTGCGTCAACACTAGGCTCAATTTGAGGCTTGAGCACCCACTATCATTACTTAGGAACAACATACGTGCACAACTGTTTCCCGTTAGCGGGGTTGGTCACGGTAATTCTCTGTGGATCCCTGGTCACTAAGGAAGATGTGTCTTTCCATTTAACAAAGGACAGTCGTTGGTAGTGGTCCTGAAAGAGGAGACCTTTGTGTTGCAGGTAGTGTTGTTGGCAGAATGCTCTGCTGATGCCAATTGCCATGTGGCTATTACCGGCAGTAGGTCCGAGGCCCGTGCAGTGATGTTACAACTAAGATTCTGTAGACTCGTGACCGGTCTGGACTACGTCCTTTGAAATAAGAGAAGTTGGCGCGTCGTGGCGTGCACGCAGGCAAAGCGCGGAATTTGAAAAATTGCAGATGCCGATAATGCCGCTGCACTAAGATCTCCGAACTGGCAGCTTCGCGCCTGGAAATTCCGATCTCCGCTCGGCTTTGCTGTAGGCAACCACAATTTAATGGCAACCATTCTGGTAACGTCTTCACCGCTGCTTGTTATGCCTAATCTCACTCCTGCTCATTCTGACTACAAAGGACACTTCTACCTGTAGTATAATATATTTTTCGCCTCTTTGGACTGCAACTGTCACGAAGCTGCCAAGCCCGAGCCAAAGTCAGAACAAACATTCCAGCGCCACTACCGCGTCAGATTCACGTGATGACTAATTTTACTGTTGAAAAGCCTAGCCCATTACATACTAATCCACGGAGTCGCTGTGGACTCGGACCTTGTCCACTCGCTTCCATCCTGACCACCACGACCACGGCCACCTCTATTGTCCACCTGTGGCACTTTAATCGCCACAAGCCCAGATATTTAATCTTGCATATACCCTCACGATTTACATATCCTTAGCTATCTGTAATTCCAATGTCCAACCCACCTCTCCGTAGATCTGCTCGTGCAGCCTCACAGAAACCTGAGGAACCCAAAGCAGCAGCTCTCAAGGCCGCTGTTGCAAAGACGACGGCACCTAAAGCCGAAAAATCAACTCGGCCCGTTGCCCGCACACCCAGTCGCTCTAAGAAGCGCGCTGCCACCCCGGAAGCGTCGCCGCCGCCCACCAAGCGCTCTCGGGCCAAGGCGGGCATATCCGATGCAGAGGATGCTAAAAAGGTCGCTAACAAGAAAGCCCCAGCCACGACTGTGCCCAAAAAAGTTACCAAGCAACCAACTGTAAACGGTCTCACGCCTGTTCATGAGTCGAAACCCCATTTCAACCCTTTGCCTACGGCTAATGACCACCCTCGACCTGCTCAGCAACTCTTTGTTTGGGGGGCAGGGAACTTTGGTCAGTTTGGATGGGGTGCCGACCAACTCGGGGAATTTGCTGTTCCCAAGCGCAATACCTGCTTCGAGAAAAAGATGGAAGAAGGTGCCTTCGGCGGGCAAGGCGCTGGCCTCGAGGCCATTGCTGCAGGTGGTCTCCATACCTTATTCATTGATGAGAAAGGAACTGTGAGTTCAATTTCCGTGCCCTTGTCTACTTCCGTTGACATAACATTTGATCAGGTGTGGTCGTGCGGTGTGAATGATGACGCAGCACTAGGACGTGTCACCAAGGATGTTCCAGATCCAGATAATCCTGGAAAGTTTATCCACGTTGACGAGCTTACTGCTGTCCCTTATCCTCTTCAATCGCTTGTTGATGAGGGATTCCGCGCTGTCAGGATTGCTGCTGGCGATAGTATTTCCGCCGCTATCAGCGATAATGGCGAACTTCGAGTATGGGGTTCTTTCCGTGTGGGTGCCCAATTTCATCTGTTCACACATTTTCTAAGTTAAGCTTTGTTTATCAGGCTGCAGAAGGCTCTCTGGGCTTCTCTGGCGACGTGCGACTAGAATTCCTTCCCAAAGCGATACTAGATTTGCCCACAAAAGCAGGCGATGCTGAGAAGGCCGTCTCTGTTGTGTCAGGCAACAACCATCTTCTCGTACTAACTACGCATGGCAACATCTATGCGTGGGGTGCTGGAGAGCAGGGCCAGCTCGGTCGCAAAATTCTCGAACGTCGTAAGATCCATGGCACCGTCCCTGAAAAAATCACCCTTGGTACCCGCCACAACCGTGCAGTATTGGTTGGCGCAGGAAACTATCACTCGTTCGCCATCGACGAAGAGGGTGACGTCTGGGGTTGGGGCTTGAATACGATGGGACAGACAGGCACCGGCGTCGCAGAACCAAAATCGATGTCCGACGAAGTGCGATCACCAAGAATCATTCGGTCGCTGTGCCAGAGGACCCTCGGCGAATCAATCGTGCAGATCATAGGTGGTGAACATCACACACTTTTCCTGACTTCATTTGGCAAGGTGTATGCGTGCGGTCGGTGTGACGGTGGCCAGCTCGGTATCAGCGACGAGGTTGCGGAATATACTTCACGCAAGAACCCTGATTTCGTGCCAGAACCTATGTTGGTTCCATTCCCAGACCCGGACGACCCTATCGTGTTCATTTCGGCCGGCACACACAACAACATGGCTATTTCCCAAGCAGGTGCGCTGTACGCATGGGGAGAAGAGTCTCAAGGAGAGTTGGGTGTCAACGAAAAGGAGGCCAAGACCCCAACGGTGGTGGTGCGCAGGGATGGCGGCGCATGGAAGGCAGTGAGTGTTGCCTGCGGTGGCCAGCACACTCTTGGGATGTTCAGAAAGAAGACCTAGCATGACTTGGCTGCCATACGGGTAACAATTATCGATTGCACCATCTTGCATTTCACCCACTTCATCGCGTACACACATACTCTTATCCATGAACTGTGGACCGAACGATGCTTTCTTGCATGCATACTCGGTCATCTAGACATCACCTGCATACGAATCGTAATGTATGTCGTTGCCTGCACTATAAATAATATACGATACTTGACCATCAGAATTTCGTGTCTGAGTGTATTTCATGAGTAAGTAGCTGCCAAACGTCCTACAATGTATTGCTCCGTAGTAAGCGGAGGATATCTGCTTGGATTGGATGTGCTCGTGCAAGTGGGCAAACTCTCGATGATGGCGTCAAAATTCGGGTTGCAGAAGAATGCAATTGACTGCCGTGCGGGCGTCATGCCTTCGGTAGCGTTGATCTTCATTGCAGGCGGGGCAACTACACGATGGAGAGTTGAACGGAGAACATCGTTACTCCAACGCGCCAAAAGGTCCCCAGCGTTGACGACAATTGTTCCAGGCTATCGAGATAGAGGGTTAAAAACTTGAAGAGTAAGTTGAGTGGAAGAAAACGAACAATGGGTGAAGCAGGTTGATAATGCTTAGTGTGAGGGTTCTGGACCTCTAAACCGCCAATGGAATCCTGGAACAAGAGTGTCAAAGTTCCGTAATCTAAGAGACAAAGCAAGTCAAATTCGACGACTCGGAGTGTCGCTAAAAAGGAACAGACCCACCTGTATGAGAAGCAGCCCTGGCTTGACCGTCGCCTAAAAGTAAAGAGGTTCGAATAGGAGGATAGGACAAAAGCCGTAAGTTATGGTCCTGACGATTGATCTTATTGTCGAAGAAATCCTCAGGAAGGTCAAGACCCAACGCAATCGATTTCATGACCATAGTGTGCACTTCGTGGCAAGTCTACGGTCACAGAGACCCAGGATCAAATGATTATGCGTGCATATTTCTGCGTGCACGTACCTGGAAAAAGTGGAGCATCGTCTGCTTAAATCCAGGTACTTCAGTTTCCTGAGGCCACTTATTACTGAACGTAGGATGATTTTCACGTCCGATTTCCATAGATTCCTTGGTGTCTGGAGCCTTTGCGCGTAATAAAGCGATCTCGGCCGCATCCATTGAAGTGGTGACACGCTCACGGCCCACTTGAACATAGCCACGGTTAGCCTTAGGGTCGTCCCATGCCAGCCTTGCCTTGGTCTCTTCGGGTAATCGGAAGAATTCTGCACTCTGAATACACAATCAGTTATGAATGTTTGAACGTCTATCCTATTATAAAATGCGAATACTAGCCTTCTGGAATACGCGGTTGACCGTCTCAGGTTCAATCACATGGCCTGTTAGGATACACGAAGCCAACTTCTTTGAATCCGTTTACAATGTCATCCGCGATGCGACGCTTCTCAGCCAGAGAGGTGGCTTGTTTATAAGCTGCAAAGTCAATGAGGGGTATCCTGAAAGTTGAATCCGAGCGAACATCCTGTACGTTGCTAGGTTGAGTATTACATCTAAGACTGAAATGTAACCAACCTCTGCAAGTGTACTACTGTATCTACTAGGTGTGGCGATGAAATGTGGGCGGGCTGCACGGAACACGACTTGGCGTATAAACGGTCTTAGGACAAGCATTTGATTGGCGGATATTAGTTGTACTGGCACGAAGGTGACGAAATACCTAGACACAGGTATGAGTGGATGCCGGATGGACGCACCCTCCAAGTCTTAAGTTGTCTCGGGAGCAATCGGGGTGCTATTTACGGTAAGTAAAGAACGACGCAGAGGCAACTTCAAATTAGCTACGTTGTGACCGGTACCCTTGTACTACTAGAAGTGGAGCTAAGCAACGTGTCAATAGTATTGTGGGCCCATATGCATGTGGTAGGGTAGAGTGGCAAGTACTGGCACAGGCCATGGCGCAGATGGTAGAACCATTTGCCTTGGACTAGAGACGGAAGTATTAGAAGCATTCATCTCCTATTTGCGCATGTTTTTTGCTCCGTGTCTCTACTCCTTTTGCAAAATATTGTGCTGCTAATTTATTTGCTAACTATACTTACTCTTGTTCTTTCACCACCATGGCTTCTGCCTGCGACGTCATTCAACGGATTTCAGTCGCTGACGCTGGAGAAAGCCGTACTTGACCTGCGCACAGGTTTGTTCGTACATTGCCAGTTATACACTGCACTTTCAAGAGTACGATTCGCCGAGACATTCGAGTGCTATCTCCAAGAGAAGAAGAGGAAAACGCAACAGCAAACAGAGTGTACAGACATCTCTTATTATAATTCACGATAGAAAAACGTCCGAAGGTGAACGGAACGCTTGTAGTATGAAGTACCAATGAAAACCGCCCAGAATCCTAATTTTTGGCAAAGAACATGCATCTACAGTATTTCCATCGTCTTGAAGTACGTCCATAAAGTCTCGAACAGAAGCTACATCTTTGACCTGCGCAATGATATCACGATCCGACGCAATCCTCTTGTATTCTCCGCCGTGCTAGCAAAAATGTGCCAAAAGGCCGCCCAAGGCGAACAAGCAACCGCAATGCTCGCGATTCGAGATCATCCACCTCCTGTTTTACAAGAGATCGGCTAGGTGAGTCGTCTGACGGAGACGAAGGCGGCGTGCAATAATCCCCTTCGCTCTCCGAATTGTCTTGCAGATCTGCAAAGTCTGGTAGCTCTAGGAGAGACCGATCCCAGGGACGGACAAACATGAAGCTTTGTTGAGTGGGCATTGACTACGAGAACTGAACAATCGCCTCTTTGGTGGTGATCAGCAGGTCGCGAGGCCTGTCTGCCTTGACTTCATATCGAGTCTCCTGGGATGGACCATAGCTCAGACTGATGTCTGTGACATGGAAGGTGATGCAGGGCAGATGAATTCTGCGGTTCGCGAAACGAGCAGCACTCGTGTTACCAAGCCACTCGTAAAGTTTCGAAGCCAAATCCACCGCCACGGGAGGATGACCGACCTGCTCCCAGGCTGTTGTATTCCATTCGCATATGGTAGGATCGCCCCTACTTCCGCATGTGAGAAGGCGTGTACCATCGGGCGTCCACACAAGTGAGAGGTTGGATTTTGTGCGAGCCTTGAAGTATGTGACGCGTTCCCTTGAGCTCGAATTGTAAATTTTGATATCCTCATCTGTTGCAATGGCGAATATTGAACGCAGCGGGCACAACTACTAAGATACCAGATTGAATTTCCTTGCAACAGCTGCCAGATTTTTGTATTCCACAGCTTCGTCGTCTTGTCATCTGAACATCCAGTAGTCAGCATTGTTCCATCAGGAGAAAAATCCAGCGAGTAGATCCAACCGGAGCGGACTGCGAACAATTCGCCAGTTTCTCCGTACCAGACGATGACCAATATGTCTCTATCACCACTTGCTATCAATTGCCCATCTCGTGATACTGCCAATGCCTGCACCTCTTTGCGATGCCCCTTCATCTCCTTCAATACAACACCTGTCTTCAAGTCCCATAACCGAAGCGTCTTGTCCCACGAGCCTGTAACCATCCGTCGTTTATCGGGGGAAACTGCGACTGCCCTTGCGCAGTCTTCATGACCTTTAAACTCTCGCAGGCGTGTAGTGGTTGGGATGACGTTCGACAGCTTACTGGGAGTTGATGGTATTGAGCACGATCGAGGCTGACTTTGGAGGGGATATTGTGTCTTTCTCTGCAGAGGTGCGTGTATTGTGCGTTTTATGGTACTTTGCTGCGTCAACATGCCTTGTTTCAACAGACGCCTAGGACACTTAAGGCTGTTCGCCTCCACACGGCATCCATCATTGTAATGATGCACCCTACTGTCATACTCGCTGTCCTCGACGGTATGCCCTCCCGGCACCTCTGTAGTGCATACACGTGTCTCACTTTTGTAAACCATAAGCTCCCAGGTGTGAGCTCCCCTATCCCTCATTACCTTTCAATGGCTTTTGGTGTCGCCATAGGCCCGTAGCACTTTAATGACGATTTTCGCACGGATCTAAATGATTGCGTTGCGCCACAATTTTTTTACATTGAGAAACTGATACAGTTGTACAACATCCAGTGTTTCCCCCGGCAAAAGAAACAAAACCAAGGAGTTAAAACTTAACTCCAGTTCATCAATTTAGATCATCCACCCACTTGTCCATATTGGGGAACCTAAGCTCATCAAAAAGAATCTTGCTATCGGATATCCAAGCCTTTGTCTGCATCTGGCCCCTTGACTACCCAACGACTCGGATCATCGCACTAGCCCAACTGGATGATTGCGCGATCTTGGCATCAGCACTTTCTATTACTCCTGTCGCCTTGTCTTATGTGAAGGATTCAATGCTAGAAGACGATTTCGGGATTGCTTCAATTGGAAACCTGTTATCATTACATAGTACTAGTAGCAACATCATGGTAGGGCTATAACATAAGGAAAACGAAAATTCCATCCTCATGCAACCTCCACGGATGGGAATGCGATCAATTCATTCAGGCTGCAGCCCACATCCAGATTGCGGCATGCTGTTAAAATCATACAACTTGCTTTTGCAGTCAACTGGCTGACGCAATCATACATCGGTATGCATCGGAAGGACATTGAAGGAGATGCGCACCACAAGGACCTATAGCTAGAGTTTTCTTTTACTTCAACGAAGAGTCTGTCGATATAACTTTAGTGAAGATCCAAAGCTAGAGGAGATTTAGGCAAACCGTATCTCTCCGAGTCAATTTTTCCGAATTCATCATCAGTCGAATCTTGACGGCCAGATTTTGCCGGAAGTTGATAGATTGTATGTAATTCGTCGTGGGTCACAATGGTACCCCGAGTGGCAAAATGCATTACGCTTTCTTTCAAGCCAGATTTTTCGACATCCGCAGCTGGTTTGGCATCCGATCGAGCGATCTGTCTGTTAACTGTGCCCGCCCAGACTGTTGCGAACACGACACCGACAACTGCAATTGATGTGTTTGTCAGGATTATTTGATTGATGACCACTGGGTTAACTTCGGAGTAAATGACAATGATCTGGGCGACCGAAAAGAGCGCCGGAATGACGAAGTTTGAAAGCGCGATCCAAAATAGCGTCCTCAGTCTCATTCTAAACGAAACTTGAACGGAATAAGTTGAAATCTATGAGGATGCAATTAATATTTACGCTTGGCATTGCCCGTGGTGGAGCCATCGTTATTTTTCCGCTTTGACCAAAGTGTCCAGAGGAATACAGAGGACGCATATCTGAGAGATATTTTATATGAGCTCCAATAAAAAGATGAGGGACATCCACTTCACATATTATCCACTAGCTGCGCGAACCACTCGATCTTGAGATACGGAGCTGCTACCCACAGGGCTGCCAAAGTTGCTTCTGCATTGAATCCTTTAGCCGCTTTTGTTAGAGCTGCTGTAAAAAGAGATAGATTGATAACACGGGCAACTTTGAGTAGGACGGGCAGTGAAACCAACGTCACGAAGCGTTGCCATGTGAGGTATCTTGGCGGATAAACGGAACAAATGCGAAAGAGTAGGATGGTATCAACAAGGATACTTTGGACCGCTCCAAGAAAGCCCATGATTATGTCATAGGAAACAGGGTATGGATGTGTCGGTGATAACATAGTATTAACCTATCCGGAGATGTTAATTTCCAACATTAGCAAAGGGACTTTTAAAATTACTTACAGCTCTACTGTCCCCCATTATGCCGACAGAGAATGCCAGGCACACATTCAAAATGTTGAGGATAAATATGGGCTGTCTCCGTGAATGCTCGTTCGAGAAGTAGAACATTGCAATGAGGAGGGGTACGAGTATGACCGTAAATGTATGCCCAATCATGATGTCGATCAGTGCAGGTTGGATTGCCGCAAGATAATTGAGACCAGGGGGAGGGGGAACTGACATCGTGATACAAACACCCTTGACCCAGGGAAGATAAATACCTAGACGCTTGCTTCTGGAGGTAAAAGTATAGTTCTTATAACACTAGCAGACCTAAGCACTGCAATGTAGCAGGGGAGCTTGATGGCAACGAAAAAAATCTTTCAATTGGTAATTATGTGTGTTCAAGTGGGGCCGCGACGATGGCATTCTTGGCATTGTATGATGAAAAACTGCCGAACCCAATTGAGAGTCGTTATACAATACAGCCTTAACCATAACGTCTTTCTTCTGATGTAGTTTGCCTAGGGAGACTAAGCCTTAACCGTCTATCGTCAGAGAACATGTCAGACGAACCTCTAAGGATCTGAGGCATGATTGTACAGCAATCTAATTGCAACACAAGCACTGGATACTATGAATGTTGTGCATGTTTTGTGGACTGAATTTCTCCTACCATAGCTAAAGATCGCATAAATAATATTGGTATCAATGAGCCAAAATGGGTAACACATTGATTGCATATCAAGGCTTACATGTGCTGTTTGGCCTGGATTGCGGCTGCCGCATACATGCACATCAATTATATTCACACTCCGATCTTCCGAGTAGAGCCACGCTGTGCACGCTCAGGAGAATCAATCAGGTGATTAACAGTTCCACCAATCGTCGGAGTTTGCATAGAGTGGCACGATAAGCTGTAAAGCGTTGTTGATCCTGACACTCATGATGCTCGTTCTCCGCCTGTTGTCAGGTCGAACTTGAAGTTGTTCCCAATCATCAAGAGATAGGACCTGAGCCGGAGCCTGTGATTTTCGTACAGGATACAGCAATAATATCATGTCGCCGCCCTCAATAAGTCTCCCATACTACATCTGGTACCATCTCCCTCATAACTGCGCAACACATCAGAACTACACTATCGAAAACGAATGTAACTCACGTTTCCAATGGTCAAGCGCTTCTCCTTCCTGCCATGTGTTCAACGTGTTATGCGCATCAGTCAGAACGAACTTTTCTTCCATAGTCGACCAGATAGAGCTGTCGCCAAATTGGGCGTGATTAATTTCCCGTTTGTCAAGACTGGATAGAATGTGACGGCGAAGATATGAGTGAAGATAGTCCTCTTCGACTGCAGATCGGAATGTGAGTGGTGTTGGAGATGGGGTACAAAAGAAGACCTATCGCGTGATCATCAGACTTTGTCAAAGCTCCAATAAGGGAACTCACAATATTGACGAAATGTGAGTGAAAATGCTCCAGGGAGATGGGCTCAACATGGTCATGGAAGGCTCTGCATTGCCCAAATGCTCGCAGCAAAGTGACGAGTATTGCTTGTGATGAGTCGGATGCAAGTTTTCCAGCAAAGTTCTGTCCGAATGACACAAGATAAGTGATATGGGCAAACACAATGTCTGAAACTGCTTACCACTGCGACGACGCCTTCTGGACTTAGGATAGTCTTGAGATCATTCCAAAACTCGATGGAGAAGAGATGTTCAGGTACTCCCCCTCCAGAGAAGCAATCATGGACAACAACATCATACTTGATTGCGGAGGGGTCCTCAGCTTCTACCATAGCTCTCCTGCTTCTGACCCACCCTCTCGCATCCTGCAAAAACACATTATTGTTACCAGGATCTGATAGGCCAAAATACTGGCGTGCAGCATCGTACACAGCAGGATCGATTTCGACAATAGTTGTTGTTATGCCATGTTGGGCAAACGCATTTGCTGAGATCCCGGTGCCAAGACCGCTGTACGTCAAAGTCGTCACTCCTTCCGGGCATCAAACAAGGTCGCCACCTACATTATGAGCGCATCATTACACTCTCCCTTCCTTCCCTGCGGAGTACTATTGACAAGCCGCACTGCCTCCTGAAGAACGAATGCGCTGTAGATCGAATCTCCTAAAGGAGTACCATATTGGTCGGTCAGCGGAGGAAAACTGTCGAGTGTGGTCACCAAGTCCCCGATCCATACACCTCCCAGTAACGAGTGAGATGCTCGAAGGTAACGGATAGAGTGAAGAGGAGTCGAGCCCATGTCGGCCGGAGGTAAGATCTCGCCAACCACTACTACACCAGTCTTGGACTGGGTTGAATTCAGGATACGGAGCGGATATGTTGGACTGTTGTATGGTGTAACAATGGAATTTACGAGCGTCGGGGATCGGAGAGCTGGATTAAGATTTAAAAGCACAGTCAAGACTAGGGGGATCGCACTCAAGGCCACCGTGAATCGAGTGTTTCGGGCATTCGGATGAGTGTTACGTCTGCCCACATCGACTTTAATCCCACCGTACACGGCAAGACATACACATCCCAATGCAATGAACTAGATGAATGAATGTGTTAATTGAAAGATGTTACAGCTACAATTGCAGCTATTACGCACAATAACATTGTTCAAGGCATCTACCGATAATGCACTGAACACTAGCATTAATAGTGGACGAAGCTGTAGTGCATTAGCGGCGAGTACTATGAGGGCCAAAGTAGGCTAAAAAGTAGTAAACTGGATGTTAGTCTAAGGTACATGCGCAACAGTTCTTCCCGGTACAGGCCAGGTGAAACTCACATCAACGCTCATCGCCAAAGACACTGAGAAGTACACAACGGGAGCCAATACAAGGGCATGGGTGACGAGAGGACTGTAAATGGGATCCTTGAACCTAGCAGCATGAACACTGATCCAATAAGAGGTGTGAGGTGCTAGAAGAAGTAGACAGCTGAGAATCAAGAGGATTCTTGAACTCGAAAGATTTGGGGTAATAATGGCAAACGCTGTGCTCGTGTGTACGACATAACCAAGGTATTTTAGAGTCGGAACACTGGCAAACAGCGGGATGATCGAATTTTCGTAGGCAGTCGTAAACAAAGAAAGCGCGACGCTCACGGCAAGTATGGAAAGAGAACTTTTCGTGCTCGTCCAAGTTGCCGACTCAGAGTTGGTAGACATATTCAAGTGTAAGGCAGACTTGGCCTTGCGACACACGCTAGGCCTGGTTCACGGTGGAGCACGCGTGGCAGTTGTGGGCAAAACATGATATTACCTGTCACACGTCGCAGAGTTACCGGCAAATGCTAATCCACGGATTCTCATAGTAGCGACTTTATACAAGTGCTAGTTCAAACAGTTGTTAATATGCTCTAATGAACACAAGGGTCGAGGGAGTTTGCAGAATATCACAGATCCTATGCCTGGTCATATGGTACATAGGACTCGGATTTCTGATGATGATCTATATTCACAAGCGAATAATCTCAAGAAGGTCATCAATCAGCACTTTCAATCTCCCCGCTTCGTAGGCAGCAGCGGTTGCATTTTTGTCCATGGTAAGTGCCTCAGTGATCCCTGGGAGAGTGGTGGCGCCATAGCCTTCCAATGATAGGCTCAACCTTCGTTACAGGTGAAAAAGAGCATGACACTCACCTGACCACTTGCCAGGAGCTACGCCCAAGTGCTTGTACCACTCACGGTCTTTAATCCCGTCCTTCGATATGAAACTACGTTCAAAGGCGATCAATCGCTTATTCACGGCTTGCACACGTTGAATAGCTTTGACAAGGTGTTGACTGGGTGGTCTGAAGGAATTGCCTGTAAGCTGTTGTCCACCGAAAATGCGAAGACACTCGCCTATAGGAGTGTTCCCTCTCCATGTCTTCGTGTTTGTCTTTCGATTCGCACTGATGCTTTCCAAATACCTTCTTGAGTTTGCAGCTAGCCTTGTGAATCTTGCGACGGATCTTGTGGCAGATAGCATGCTTCTTTTTGAGTTGCTTAAGGATCTTACGGAGTTTAAGCTCCGCCTTGGTCTTTGCAGAGTCTAGCTCTAAACTGGCACCCTGCAAAGTGTGAAGGGAGTCTCGGAGAGGAGACAGATCAACGTCATAGGAGCCATCGGCTGCAATAGAAGTAACCCTGAAGGTTCCCAATCAACTATAAATCACCTGTAGGGAAGCCAGTGGTGCATACTTGTCGAGGTATGATTCCAACTCAATGGAGTAATGGGTAGTGTTGAACGGTAAAATAATGTCGCCAGATAGACGAAGCACTTGTAGGCCAGTATGTTTGGCAATAGCAACCTGTGAATATGAAGCTCATGTGAGCTGGTAGGAAGCCAAGTAGTACTCACATGACGAGAGAAACCAGGATCACCGTATAGCTCTTGCCAATACTGAGAGTCAAAAATCGAGTGGTAGTGATACACGGGATCGTGTAGCGTCGAGGTGAATCCATTGTCAGTACTCGGCACCTGATATCATTGGTCAGGTGTAAGCTGCGGAAAACATACTTCGCTATTCATTTACTTACACCATGGTATTGCAAGAAGACGGTATAATCACTCCCGGATCCCAACGGACTCACTCCAATACTATCAGCTGTCAAACGTTTATTTTGATGCATAGCAGCAATTTCAGCATTCGTATGCTGGCCGAAAAGCGTTCCAGAATCTCCGCGAGCATCCCAAAGGCTTCGTTCCTCAGAAGTAGGGTGGGGAATCTGCTCCGCCGTTTCACGAAGGAGATGCGCAAGCAAGGGAGATCCTGAAGCCTTGAAACGGGAGCCTGATGCAGAAGTATCTGAACATGAAGGTTGAGCTTAAGTCCACAATGAACGTTGCAAACTAGTCCTTCATACCCATGTTAACGTAAGCCACGACATGGTTCTTGATCCACTCCGAGAAATCTTCGCCCCATTCTGTGCTGCCAATTAACCCAAACTACGTAGATGACTTGTTTGAGTATGGTAAAATCGGCGGATTGAAAGACGGTCTCACCTCTTCGCCATCCCAGCTTGTAATAAGAATCGTCCTCAAGGGCTTCCATCCTTCCTTTAATAGGACCCCAAAGCCGCGAATTACCTCTGAAAGAGACACAGTGCCTGAGATTGGATCACTGGCTCCTGTGACCCAAGCTAGAAAATATCAATATTTGCACAGGCATCACAAATGTCCGTAATTACTCACAATCTCGGTGGGCACCTATCACAACCACCTCGCTCTTGACGTGGCCAGGAATAACACCCATCACGTTCCAGATGGGGGTAACCTTTTCATCCACTGTGAAAAGGTGAGGGTCTAGTGATGGGAAATTGGATGTAGTCTTACCGTTGTTCACAAGACGAACAGTTGGGCCTTCGTGGCCGTCCTCCAAGTGTTTCAGAAGGACTTCGGCATTGGCCCAAGAAATTGGCAAACTCGGGATGGTCGGTTTGCTTCCTCCTTCAACTCTCGTGCTATTTTCATACGAGGGGTACCCAGGGGTTGAGGGATCTCCGGGATATAGCGACAAGAATTGCACGGAACCGCGTTGCACAGAGGTTGGGTTGCGTGCAGGCCCGTGTGGGTAGCTGTGCAGCAACTCAGAGATATAGCTCTCAAGTACGAAATCAGACGCACGGGACATATCCATTTTCAACTGTCACTGTGCCATCGTCATGAGGGTCTGAGTAAACCAGAACAGCGGCAGCACCAAGCTCCTGAGCTCGTTTGATCTTCGAAGTTATTTTAGTCAAAATATCAATAAGACTCATGCAGGTGTACCTTTAGACCCCTGAAGTTACCACCGTAGCGAGTGAGGACGATCTTTCCGCTGAAGTCAACACCTTTTTGGTGTAGAGCATCAAAAGCTAACTCTTCACAACGCAGAGAATTACGGACCGGCTTCTACGAGCGCGTCGAAATCCCGTTGTCTTCCATAGTGTGCATGAATCAGCTTCCCTTCAGCCTGCCCCCCTCTGCTAATGCCATGCCACGTCGGGACGGCATTCGCGGACTTGAAGGCGTAAGGATCAGTTTCATCAGCGACCTCTTCGAGCTGAGCAGACCAAACGGGGTTCCCGTCATCTCCTAAAATCTCCAGGCTACGATCCAAAGGGCTGTTCAGGATAGGGTAATAAATGTCAACCCAAGCCTTTGGTTCGTCAAGGGATGAAATTGATAACGTTGCCTCGCGAGATTCACGGGAACCGGCTGAGTATAGTGGGATGTCGGAAGATGAGCGATCAATTTGAAGTTCTTCCTGTAGGTGCGCAAGGAAATATTTCGCAGTGTCAAAATCACCTTCGCTCCCGGCCATATGGGGCTTGTCCGCATACACTCGGGACGTGGTAATGGCACTGTCTGCATCTGGTACAGACCTGGGTAAAGTTAGATTCTTCCACAAGAATTTGGGAAAGCAGTACGTACAAGAACAGTTGCTCCGCTTTCTTGCCTCTCAGAGCACTACCTTTCTTTGGAGCATGGCGCATCAGTGCATTCAGCATCCCATAATCTTGTCCCTCGTGTCCATGATGGCGAGGACGCTTAACGTCACTCAAAAAATGGACTGTGAACATAAAAGTGAGTAAGAGAGCAAGACGACGCCCCCATTTCTTGTAGGGAGAGGTAACAGCTGGTCGGTGTGTAACGGGAACTGGAATGGCCCATTGCGCTGATGTATCGTCGACGTGGAAGGACTTCTCATCCATGACAGATGTGGAGTCCCTGCTTTTACAAGGGTTCAAGGACGTTCACGATAAGACGTGGTGAGAGAGGGTGAGAGCGACTTCATGTTTATGAATAGGACCCGAAAACACTTTATCCGTAGCCTAGGCCCGTATGTACTAGACTGTCCATTTCTAGCGGTTGCACACGATATGTCATAGTGGACACAGAAAACTCGAAGTATATATACATGATGATCAAGTGATATCCATAGATCATAAATGAAAATTCCGACGTTTGAAGCGTTCAAACTTTGAACGTGACTGAATGAGCCAGCAGTTTTATTTCCCGAGTACCACGCAAGTTCTGGAGGGTATGTAGATCTATTATCATCAATTTAAGTCAGATGTCACAATACATTGGGATGAGGTCGTACCTGCAACCAATTCTTCCTCCCATTCCATTCCATTGGAGTTGTAGTAAACTTCCCGCCACATGAAACATTCTCGAATCCGCCGAATTTCTTTTCGTCGCTGGTAAGGATGATATGATATTCCCCTGCTTCATCGACACCAATGCGATAATCCGTGAAGGACTTAGTAGGGTGGAAGTTAAAGACAAAAAGAAGGCCAGATCGTTCATAGGCGATCATCTTGTCACCCCCGTGTTTGAGAGAGACGTATGCCTTTTATTGATATAAGTTAGCTCGATAAGTATCTATCGTGTCATATCAGATCCTAACCTGAGGAGCTGAAAGCCATTTGTGCTCTTCTTCCAGGTGGTTTATCGCAGCATCGAAGTCATTCAGGTATCGGTACCGAAGGTTTTGATCATCTACAATATTCCACTGTCTCCTGGCATGCTGGAAGGAGTTGTTGTTTCCTTCTCGAGGAAAATCAAGCCACTGGACGAGTAAATATGAGAGGACAGTGAGTGTGGGATTTTAGTATTTCTTACTTCTGGGTGTCCAAACTCGTTGCCTTCAAAATTCAGGTAGCCTTCTCCGCCGAGCGAGTGGACCAGGAGACTGCAGTTATGAGTATTTATATGCGGCCGCAGACAACAAAACCCACCGAATCATCTTATGCAGAGAGAGGCCTCGCGCGATGATGGGCGTCATTGGTGTCAAATCCGACATGTGCGTATCTGTGGGGGCGTTCGGGTTACATATGATACACACGATTAAGCGAACCCACACATTTCCTTGTCCATTAACCAGAAAGCCAGAGTCTTGTCTCCCACCAGGGCCTGGTCGTGGCTTTCAGCGTACGCAACGCTCTTCTCGCCGTATCGTCGATCTGTAAGGGTGTGCACAATATTACCCATATCCCACTCGTCATCAGTCTTGTGCTTCAGCAGTTTGATCCACATGTCCGGGATAGCCATTGACAAGCGGTAGTCGAATCCAATGCCTCCTTGAGATACGGGGATGCAGAGCAGAGGCATACCTGAAACGTCTTCTGCGATCGTGATAACAGACGGATATAAAGCATGCATCGCATCATTCGCCTTCAGATTGCTGTTAGTAGCGAAAACAATGGTACGTCAATGTAACATTCACCAGCATGAGGTACACAATAGCCTCCTCATCTGCTCCCGGACCAAAGTAATCAGGGTAGCCACCCGAGAAACCCGTTCCGATACCATGATGGACATACATCATGCTCGTGACACCGTCAAACCGGAAGCCATCGAACTTGTACTCCTCCATATAGAAGCGAAGATTGCTCAGTAAAAACCTCAGAACTTCGTGGTTCGCATAGTTGAAAAGTCTGCTGTCCCACAGCTCATGACGTCCTTTGCTGCCTTCGTGGAAGTATTGGTGATCAGATCCATCAAACGCGTTAAGGCCGTCAAGGACGTTTTTGCAGGCATGCGAGTGTACAACGTCCAGAAGAACGGTTATACCCATGCCGTGAGCAGTGTCGATAAGCTCTCTAAGCTCCTCAGGAGTGCCATACCGAGAGCTGGCAGCGAAGAAGCTGGTTACTTGATAGCCGAAAGCTAGCATGAGGAAGTTCAGATTGAGGTGCGGAACGACGGCTCATCACGTACATGCATAATAAGGATGTTCCATAATGGCCATTAGCTGGATGGTGTTGTACCCCAGAGCGTGAATCCTCGGAAGCGTATCTTTCGTGAACTCTTTGTATGTACCTACGCGGTGTTCGCTAGTTGAAATTCCTACATGGGCCTCGTATATTCTTATCGCTCTCGGTTGCGGTGGACGAGGGTTTTTGAACTGATATTTTTCCGAAGTAGAGGGATTCCAAAAACGTCCTTCATAGGCAGGAGAGAAGGCCAAATCTTGGGTGACACGTTGGATCCAAGCAGGGATACGCTCGATACGAGCACCAGAGGGTGTGATCATGGAAATCTGACGAATTTAGAACAAGAAGATTACTACAGATCAGATACACTCACTTTGACCTTGGAGTCATGAGGTATCGCGCACACCCCAGGAGCCTTGGGAGGGAGTGTAATTTCCCAGACACCAAATTCATTCTTTTTTAATGGGTGGGACATCCTGTTCCACTGGTCTGAATATATAATCAATGTTTCAATAACGCGAGGCAGCATGAAGGATAGGACTCACTGAAGTCACCGATGAGATTCGCCTCCATTGCATTTGGTGCCCACTCTCTGTAGACTATCTCACCACTCTCCTTGACGTTGAACCCCATTTTGTCGAATCCTCTAGTGAATTTCTCATATCCACCCTCATATTGGTCGATGGTATCTTTCCACTTCTGAAAGCGCTCGTGGCGGTGAGCGATAGCAGGGATGAACGGCTCGAGGTACCCATCCAGCTTTAACACAGATTTGGGATCAAAGCTAGCTGTTGCTGCCATTTTCTGGTGGGCTCGCGGACCGAAAATTTAAAACTTTGCAGGAGATGGGAGAAAATAACAAGGAACAGACGAGCCTCATCTTCCTTCTCTCCGCAATCTAGGTGGCAACAACTCAGATATGGGCTATGACGTCTGCATGATCGCTCAGAAAGGAAGGTTCCGCGGTTCTGGACTGGACATGGCCATACCTGCCCATTCATAGCGTTTGTGTAAAATTAGAGTGTACAACTTGTGGGGTATACTGCGACACAAAATAAAATCGATCATACAACTCATGGCTTCATCCAGCCTTTTTGAACTCCATACAACACAACTTCCCCTGCCGTCCTTGGACCAGAAGGTGGCACACACATTTTCCGCTTTCCCTTCCGGCCCTTCTTTGCCGCAGTAATACAGTCCCCCAATAACTTGTCGATCTCCACTAGGGAATCGTAACATTCTTGTTCGTCGTACCCTGTCAGGGATATGACTCGTGTAAGCTCAGCCGTGCTTTTCTTTCTCGTGGCAGGAGGCTTCAGTCGCTTTGAGTGTAAGAGCTTTTGTGTGAGGTAGTGAAGCCACTGTTTTGGGTGAGCCTTTTATATACAAGCAATGGGAATACAGTTCTTACCATGACATTTGTAAAGGGCTGATAGCCTTCCCAAGAGTTGCCATTATACTCTTTCATCATCCGGTAGACATCAAATTGGTAATCTCCTGCCGGTACCGATCAGCAAAGCGTATATCCCAGGGTATGTAAGACACTGACCCTCCCCTTCGAAAATTTCTTCATCAAACGGTGTCCAGTACGTCTTGGAACCTTGAGCATCTGTGGTTTCCATCCTCGAAAGCCCAAGATCTATGACAGTCGCCTTGACACCAAACCGAACGTCATCCATGCAGAGCTTTCTCCCTGCTTTTTTCGACGATAAAGTCCGATCAGGTACGTTCTTCACCAAGATCTGGCCCCAATGTAAATCACGATGCTATCTTTCACGTCAGCCACGACATCATTTATGGGAAAGAATCTCACTTCAAACGCCATAAGGTCTTCCGCTTGATCCAGAGCCGTGGCTATCTGCCAGAAGATACTGCATGCTTGGTGCCAGCCAGACCTTGCGGCGTTTTTGAATGTGAATGCTTCAAGATCTGGGCCACCATTTGGCAGGACAATGATTGCGTAGACCTGGGAGAGGCCAAAAGAGTCTAACTGACAGTTATAACAATTGTGATTCTTCGTGTCCATATGCCACCTACCTGGTCTTATACTCTCAGAACCCTTGCGCTCGTTATATTCATCCCAAAGATCAAGAAGCAGCGAAGGGTAGCGCCCACGGACGACGTATGTCCTGAGAAGCTTGATAAAGCCACTGCTCATCTCTCCCATCGCTCGGGTGACAATAATTTCCTTCATGACATCACTCGCATCACTCGGTGCGGGAGTCTCCAAGTCGTTCGTGATACGTTGTTCCTCATCTCGCAAGGGGATGATCTTAAGAACTACGTCACCGATGCCAAAAACCTCGGAAAACGAAGGCCTCGCCAATTTTCCGAAATTTGATATCCAGGTCATTTCCTTCCGCAGGCTGCACGATCGGATCGAATGGAAATGACTCTATGAAAGCAGAGAATTCATGCGGACAAGTCTGAGAGCACTCTGATAGGAGCGGAATTAGACAGTCAGGTTGTGGGGGTAGCAAATTTTCGAATTCGGTCACGTCCGAGATGTTAAGTTGCTCCAGTTCGAGAGAAAGGTCTGCATCAGTGGGTGTGGAAGGTGTGGGGAAGAAGTGCTGGAACGGTGCTCGACTTTGTCCTCGGCGTATAGGTGTCAGTTGTCGTACTTTTGTTATCGGCGGGGCGAGAGGCACGAACACTGGTTGCTGTTGTTGTTGTGTTAAAGGTGGAGGCGGCGGTAACAGTGATGAGGGTTCCTGGAGGACTGTAGGTAGCTTATGGGGTGAGGGTAGCTTATAAGGCGCAGGGGGGACCACGACCTCGAGAAATGAAGATTGTCGTGTGGAAAAGGTAGCTGTCGGCTCGATTGCGCGTTTGGGTGGGGGTTCATCGTCATCAGAGGATATGACGATCACCGATCGCATGCGGCTAAGGCGTTTTTTCGCTACCACGGTTACTTCCTCCGCATCAGAGTCGCTGTCACTGATGGCGATGATTGCGGGTTTGTTGGGTGCCTCCTTGCACCCGACCCTCGGAGCTGCCACAGTCACAGGATTTATCTGAACATCAGTCCGTGATACTCGCCGTTCCTGACTGAGCTTCTTGCCATCGTTATCGACTACAATGATATCAAGGGTCACAACTGGAGATGTAGGCTTCAGCGCAGCCCGTGGCGATGACTTGACTGGCGCCTTGCCCTTCTTCCCCACGAGTACTGAAGGTGGTGGAGCCATAGGCGACGCACCGTTCGTGCGCAAAGGCGTAAGCGGTTGACGAACAGGCGTCTGCGCTTCGAATTTTGAAAGTACAGTCTTCTTTTTTGACTTGACTGTTGGCTTAACCTGAGCCTTCTTCTTGGGTGGGCCAAGCGGGGATTTGGTAGGTGAGATATGTGCCCGCTTGGATTTCCCGTGCACTCGATGGCGAGGAGAGGGAGATAAGTAGATAGCATTTTCTCTTTGAACTTGCCTAGAAGCTGCTAGGTTACGCACTGTCTTGACGGGTGAATCAAAGGCATCCGACTCATTCCTCTCAACGACATTCACAATTCGGTGACCACGACGCCCATAGGCAAAGACTTGCTTGGTTCTTGCACTAAGCATAAGTATGGCAAGACGAACGATAAAGCTGAAAAGTGTGATCCACAGGATGGTGAATAATGTGAGGTCTGAAGTGGTCCGAAGTGTAATGCAAGTGTAGTGAGCAAAGAAGCGCGTGTTCGACTTTTCGGTTCAGACGCGTCTTGGTCACGTGCACACACGCGTCAAGAAAGCAACGCCGACTCTGGGCTAAAGCGCGCTAATCAGTTGAGACGGATCTTATCCACTTCCTTCTGATGGCATTACCACAATCTTTGAGAACATCCGTGACTCCACTAGAGCTTGAGCTCATCGCCTCTGAGCAACTGGTCGAGATTGTCCCCTTGATCACAATGGAAAAAACAGCTTTCATTTCGGTACGCATTAAGGCGCACCTCCATAGCAGTACCCACAAATGGTCGTACTTACATAGGGCGCATATGGACCACTACGACCGCCGGCAAAATGTCGGATACCTCTTTGGATGGCTACTAATCTGAAGCTAAAGAAAAAATGTCATATCGTACCCCCGGAATGGCTCAGTGTAGGTTTGTATACAGCCTTTCCTTGCTAATTACGCACTTACTGATGTACCATCTTCTAGATTTTTTGCAGGAGCGGCTAACAAGAGAAACGAGTCGGCCGGAATTTAGCAAGCTGCCTTTCCGTTTTGCAGAGATAGCCAAGGTCATCCTTGACGTGTTAGTAACACTTTTGTTTATTTAGTGACAGCATCTGACTTTGACCAAGTGCCTCGGATGATGTGCAGAATGCAGATAAAATCAAGTCATTACTGAAAGATCTTCGCGAAGCTCGACAAGCTAAAAGTCGCGATGGTTTGCAAAAATTAGATCACAGCGAGCTCAGTGTACGTTCCACTTGGTTGTCACATCGCGTATTCCTCATTGTTATGCAGTTGCCAAACCTGTGTTCTATGGAAATCAACGAGATTCGACCTTTCTTCATACAATCTATGGGAATACTAACACAGCTTGTTAGAGAGCCTTCTGCTGAGTAGCACTTGGCTTCTTGCCCTGGGTCGCGGAAATGCACCGGTGTGTCTATTTATCTGACCTCTGTAATTTGTTCAGTATCTTAACTGAATATTTTCAATCTCGCATCTCGAATGCCGAAGCCTGCATTTCATTGACTCTGCGAGAGTGCACTTCAAGAGAGGATTTATTAGGACTATTTACTGATGCTGCAAGACCAAAGCGGTGGAGGACAGGTCTCGCAGATCGCTGCTAGGCAATGTCATACTGCTAGTCTAGAGTTCGATGTACGTGACACATCGCTGAACAGTGCACTCGTCATATGAGATGATGACAATGCAACGCACATGGGATCAATCAAGCTTATTTCTTCTCGCTGTTAATGTTGCACTTCCACTATCAACGGTGACTCTCGTGGGAACTTGCGACGCCCGCCGTGGTGGCGAACCAAGGCTAAATCGATTGGGAGGCAATACACCAGTCCCGGTAACAGCATGGACTCCTCCAGGCGTATGAAGAGGTACGTGGTAGACTGTTGGTGACGAAGGCGCAGGCGAGCTTTCCCGGCGTATGTGATTGGGAGTATGCGGCGCTATCAGTCCATCCGTTACTTCACGCCTGAACGCCTTGGGAAGAAATGGAATGAAACCGAACATCGCCTTGAATAGAGACGAGTTTGACTGAGGCCCCAACGTTCGCAAGGTAGGGGTCGGCGTGCTGGGTATGCCTAGGTTTACAACCTGATATGAGTGCATGGTGACGAAACATAAGGGGTTGCTTACCAGATGATGTAGGCAAGGCATGATCATTTGCACTCAAACTCAAGAAGAGGAAGAGCGGGACGAGCCAAACGCAAACCCCAAAGAAAGTTGCAATGTCCGAAAATCCAGGTACTGTAGAATGCGTCGGAGTACGATATAGATATGACACCTGCCTTGCCTCCCGTGTGAGGTGTGAGAAGTAGAAGAACCAAATGAAGTGATCCGAGATTGCAAGAATGCAGGATGCAATAAAGGACAAGGATGAGAGCGAGATAAGTGGCCAGGTGCTGGAGAAGTTCTGCAAGTAGACAACGTGGCAGACTATAGAGAAAAGCGTTCGTGCTAAGGGAAGAGAATCTGAAATGTAGAGTGCAATGTGCAACACTATTATTGCCTTCTCTTCACGTAAGATAGTTGCCTTGGTTTAGAAAATGAGTTCACGAACATATGTCCCCCGCTGTCCAATGAGCTTGGCAAGACGTGAATGCTCCTCTATTAGCTCGGAGATGTACAACAGACCGCTAGCTAGAACTCTAGGTAAAAAATGGCAAGCATAAAGGTGGTGGAAAGTGTCACGAACCAAGTGAAAGTGTCATGAATGCAAGAGCAGCAACCATAGCAGCATAACTGTATGAGAGTGTGGCCATTCAATTAAAACTATTCGATATTTCAAGACGAACCATACCTGAGATAATGCAATAGTGACATGCCGCGAGGTTTTGCTTGGAAGGGACCACTGGTAGGTGACGGTCTATCAGGCCTTCAAGTCTGTATAAAACTGTTGATCGGCTAAGAAAGGGTTCCGCTGAAGCTAAGTGCACGTGATTGCTTACACCACAGCCACACATAGTCCGCATCTTCCACTTTGACTTGTAGCATCTCTTCTGAACGATCTTCCCTATTATCAACACCGTATCATTTGACTAATTGAACATGAGCAATATGGAAAGTGAGCAGCCCGTGTAACAGCGAGGTCACGAGAAATCCGTTGACACTTTGCAGAGACGCTATTTCAGCTGAAGGTACTTATCATCATGTCCGACAAGAATCCTCTTTAGATCCTCTCCCTTAGTTTACCGCCAAGACCCTTAATCGTCAAGCAAAGAAAGCGCAAAAGGATGAAAATACGGAAAAGGCTCGTCTCAAGAAGGTTAATTCCCACTGTCGTTCTGGATCAAACGCACAGCAATCTAATGGGTAACTTCAGGCGTTGCAGCAGAGAAATACTGATGGCGCGCGGATCTATGCTTCGAATGCCATTCGCAAGAAGTCCGAAGCTCTGAACTTGTTGCGACTATCTAGCCGGTTAGACGCTGTTGCCAGTCGGGTGGAGACTGCCGTCACAATGAGACAGGTTACTGGAAACATGACCTCCGTGGTCAAGGGCATGGACAAAGCAATGGATAGCATGAATCTTGAACGGGTGAGTAAAGGATCTATCCTTCGCTACTCCATATTATGACCTCTTTCGAATGATGTCATAGATTTCGCTTGTGATGGACAAGTTCGAATCACAATTCTCCGACCTAGACGTCCAGACGTCTTACATGGAGGACGCCATATCAAGCACAACGGCTGTATCAACTCCGCAAGATCAAGTAGACTCTCTCATGCGGCAGATGGCAGAAGAAGCCAACATAGAATTGCAGCATGATCTCGCGTCGAAAGACCTGTCTGGTGTTCCATCTCTGGCTACGAAAGAGAGTATTGGCGAGGAAGACGACAAACTAGCAGAGAGACTGAGAGCTCTGAGACCGGCGGCGTAATGATTTAGTTTATTCATCGCAGATAGATAGAGGTATTCAATCTCGTGGATTTTGTATATCGTAGTACGGATTGTACATCATATTCATTACTCTTATTCTTAAACAAACTTTGTTCACTGCACTCTTACATAAGTTCTGTACCACTGCTAACGGTTGTTTGGATTGAAGGCTTTTGCCAAACAAACACGTCCGAGTTGGGCTTGGAAGTTCGGATACTTATTTGGAGTCTGGACTTCATATGCCAGGACCGACCAATCAGGTCCATACAGATACTAGAACGCCAGGATAGTGTCTTATTAGTGCCAATACAACAGACAGACAGGCAGCACTACGGGTCACTGCAACACGATTGTCTCGGTCTATTACCTTGAAGTTTCTTCCCAGCCCGCGGCTACCTGATGCTATGCATCTCTACTTAGGTCACAACCCTCGTACACTCTACCTGGTAACTGGATCGCATGACGAGCGGAAAGGACGACCGCAACGAGCTCTCGTATTTCGTGCTGTAGAAGCCAATCCAGCACAGGTGATCGTCGAGTTCCTGCCGAAGGATGAGGTCAATCTGACCGGCGCTGTGAGACTTACCAGCCGCGTCATTAAAGGCTGTCTTGGCCTTATCTCTGTCGAAAATGGTATGCTTATTTACATGTCTAGCTGGTTCAACTTCATCGTTATCACTTATATATAGATACTTTCCTCGCAGTGGTGTCCTCTGCGACGGAGGTTGGAAACACCCGCCCCTCCGACTCTCAACCTGAATCTGTAGCGAAGATTCACGAAGTATTGTTCTACTGCCTCACTTCCCACTCATGGGACGATTTTTCTGCTTCCCAAGATACGCTTCTTAATCCAGAAAACGCCGATGCACTCATGACAAGAGAGCAGCAGCACTATTCTCAGTCTACCACACCTCCTGTGTTTGAGCATCCGTGCATGCCACTCACCAAAATTCTTTCATCTGGTTCATTCTACTATGCTCTCGATCCTGCATGGGATCTCTCATCTCGGCTTCCCGTTCGTCTGGCGAGAGATCGATCCAATGCACATGATATCGGTATATTTGATGAACGCTTCGTCTGGAATGAATATATTGTCCGCAGTTTGCTTAATTTCAGAGAGAGACTGGATCCCCTTGAAAGGGAGGAACTTGACAAGTGTCAATTTATCGTGCGCTTGTGCTCGTTTTTTTTTCCTTTTGAAGATTATATGTAACATGTCGAATAGATATTAGCCATACAAGGCTACGTGGGCGTCTTTACCATGGCTTTGCCTGCGCCGCCGGTCAACGGGGCACCCATTATTGCGACATTGTCATTGATTTCTCGCCTGGGGTGGAGACGAGCTGGCACTCGTTTCAACACTCGGGGTGTAGATGATGACGGGAACACTGCTAATTTTGTTGAGGTAGGTAATGAAACACCGAGTATAAAGTCAATGCCTGATTTGCATTCGACAGACTGAAACTATCCTCACCACTGATCAACATTGCGTGAGTTATACCCAAGTCCGAGGAAGTGTCCCATGTGCGTTTTCGCAGCAGGGGATTTACATACCAGCTATTGAAACCCTTTGAATTACAGTATTTTGGGAACAACAAGGGCTCCAGACCTTCGGCCAGCGCATTCAGATTACACGGCCGCACGCCTCCCAACCTGCATTTGAGCGCCACTTCGCGCATTTGATGGAGGAGTATGGCGCCACTCATGCCATCAACCTTTTGGGTTCCAAAGAGAACGAGGCCATCTTGACTTCTGCATATGCAAAGCACCTGCAAATTGCAAGAGGCATCTGGGGTGATGAGCTCAGTATTACTCACTACGATTTCCACAATGCCGTGAGGATAGGTGGTCATGACAGTGTAATGAGGGATGTCTGGTACGTCATGGTCTCTCAAGAGATGGTCAGTTCTTCATGGTGAGACAGTCGTTTGGAAGGCGTTAATAACAACATGGAACGTTACGGGTTCACTATGTGTGATGCCAGCACCGATAGTCTGATCACAGAACAAAAAGGCGTATTCAGGACGAACTGCCTTGATTGGTGAGTCGAGCACCTCATATCAGAGTCTTTGTGTTAAATGAAGCATAGTTTGGATCGAACAAACTTTGTGCAAGATATCTTCTCTCGTAAAGCCTTGGAACAATACCTCAGTCTCGTGCATCGCGAATGGTTACAGGCTGGTGCGCTCTGGATGCACCATCGCGAGTTATGGGCAGAAAACGGAGACGCCCTCTCTCGTATCTATGCTGGTACTGGCGCACTGAACACGAGCGTCACTCGGACTGGGAAGAGAACATTGGCAGGTCAGATACATGTCATCAAAATATTGTGACATTTCTGATGTACTTTGAAGGCGTTTTGTCCGATGCGACGAAGAGCGTGTCGAGAGCATACATCAATAATTTTCAAGATAAAGGAAAGCAAATTGCCATTGATATGTTTCTTGTGAGTGTCTTCTTTCGATCTTCTTTCTGAGTCACGAATACTTTTAATCAGGGCAATATGAATAACCAACGTCAAGTCAATATTTTTGACCCAATACATGACTCAGTCGGAAAGGCGCTGCAGCAACGGTGAGTGGAATTGGCACGTAGGATGATCTCACTGCCAATGCTGTCATAAGCTTATCCGAGTACTCGACTACCCAGTCGTGCAGTATATTCACAGGAACATGGAATGTCAATGGCCGGGTAAGGCAGATTATGCGTATACTTGCCACTGCTTAACAGTTCCCCCCCGCACAGCTGCCGTCGTCAGAAAGTCTGCTGCCGTGGCTCTTCCCGCGGGACAGTAAGTCTGGTTCCTCACCCTGAATTGCATTTTAATAGCAGTGTCTTTTGAACAGATTTTATAGAGTATACAAACCTAGTTGTATTCAATGGCGTAACTGACAAGTTTGTAGACCCGATCTTTTTATTCTTGGCTTCCAAGAAATCGTTCAACTTACCGCACAGCAGATTGTGCAACCAGATCCAGAAAAGAAGTAGGCAATATTCTGCTATACGAGGGTCATGCATCCTGACATCATCATTAGGCGTATATGGGAACAGAAGGTCATGGAAACCCTTGAACGTCGACCTCAAAGAACGTGTGATTATGTGCTCCTCCGCAGTGAACAAGTGATACACGTCCATGCTTAGGTGAAGTAATACTGAACGCCATCATTGCAGCTTGTCGGGACTGCAATTCTTGTCATAGTTCGCTCAGAACTAACAGCTGTTATACGGAATGTCGAAGGAGCAGCTCGAAAGGTGGGCCTTGACTACATAATTTGAGGTCCTGGCTTGAACATTATATCAGACCGGTCTGCGGGGCATGTCCGGAAACAAAGGTGGTGTTGGAGTCCGATTGGACTATCACGATACTAGCTTCTGCTTCCTGACTGCTCACCTTGCCGCCGGGCATAGCAACATCGAAGAGCGGAATGCGGACTTCCACACAATTGTGAAAGGTTTGCACTTTCAAAAAGGAAAGACGTTGTCCAGCCATGAGTAAGCTTGATTCTTGGGAATGTAGAGCTTGACACGTATAAGCCCCCAACAGAAATATCATATGGCTCGCAGACACGAATTACAGGATAGACCTTGACAACGAAAGCGTCCGAGCCCGGTCAGAGGCCGATGATTTTGATTCTTTGGTAGCAGCAGATCAGGTGTGTTCGACGACCAATAAACAATTGCTTGCCCTAGATTAATCCTACGACAGTTGAGACAGGCAATCGACAACGGGGACGCATTTGCTGGATATGAGGAAGGACCCATGTTGTTCCGTCCCACTTATAAGTACGACCTGGGTACCGACAACTATGATACCAGTGAGAAGATGCGCATTCCAGCTTGGACTGGTAAGCGTTCTGACGTTCAGAGGGTGCACTCACGTGAATTACACATCTCGCAGACAGAATTTTGTTCAAAGGCCGATTCGATCTTGCAGTATACTCCCGGGCTGAGCTGAAAGGCTCGGACCACCGTCCAGGCAAGCTCTTTTGTGGCTGTAATCTTCACGTGCCACTGATTGCTGGCACCAAGTTTTTGCGCTTTTTAGAAGTGAGGTGCGAATCATAGATGTCGCAAAGAGGGCCGCGTTATCTCGGCTGCTCCTGGAAAACACGCTGTCAGCTACTCCAGGCGAGAAACTTGATGAAAAGCTTGCGTCCTTGGTACTTCCCGATGACTATTCTGAATGTCTGTGTTGTATTAGCTTAGATATGCGCGAAGCTCATATTTTACCAGTGCCCCCGCCTAGCACCGATGATGATGCATGGTGGAACAGACCTGGTAAGCATGTAGCACATCAGCACACATGCTCTAACACATCTTCAGAACATCCAAAAGGCATCTTTCCCATCTCGGTAGCTCACCTCTTGGAATCAAACGCAGCCAACCCTTTTGACTCGCCGGAGGAATCTCCTTTTTCATCCTCGCCATCGTCCTCTGACGAAGAATTATATTCACATGCAATGGGATTGCAATCTCCGATCACACCTGTTCGCAAACCTCCACCTCCACCTCCCCCACGCTCACGGTATACCGATGTGTGATACAGAGCTTAGATTGATTATATGGTTGGCATCGTCATATAGGTCAACAATAAAGTAATGAATGGAAGAAGTACAAGACTGCGGCACGGACATATCAAATTAGACCTTGCTTTTTCAGGTCCTCGTAAGTCTTCCTATTGTAAACATTGCCCTCGTCGTCCTCAAGTTCTTCCATTGTTTCCTGCTCGAAAATCTCATGTCGTCCCTCTTGCTTCAACTTTTCCGCCACTAAATAAAATTTCAACGGACATTCTCTTTGAAAGTGAAAGCACTTACGTGAGAGGGCATCTTCAATGCGAGTGATTTCGTGGAAATGTTTTGTGTTCGGCAAGCCCAAAGCTCGCATGCCAAAAGCGTGCCGTGATTCCTTCATGGATCAGTGATTAGCCTACCACTATCAAATCAAAGCAAGGCAGCATACTTGGAAGTGCCGGTCAAAATTTTTCCTGTTGCAGGGTTGTAAGCTTTCATACGCTATATTGGAAATTAGAAGCTACTACCTTCCCATGTACACGTGGTCAGAGCATATCTCGCAGCGATATTCTACTCCAAGGCCGTGAAGCTTGTAAAGCCAGTATGGAATTGGCTTGCCATCCCAGCCAAGCGGAAGTTTCAGGGGATTGTAGATCCTCTCCTCTTCCTCTTCTTCAGCTGCAGCATCACCAGATGTATTGGTGGGAGCCGGAGGAGGTTTCGACTGTTCAAGCAATTCTTGTTCACGTTCGCGCGCTGTGAGGGAGAAGCGACGTTCCACATTGGATTTCGTCTCGCTGATAGTGGGGACTAGCACCACAATAAGGGATGTAGAAAGATACGTTAGCAACGCGGAGCTCCGCAGTCTGGATTTCAAAAATTGAACATTGCTCGCGGGTTGTGCGGTAATGTTTTGTGTGCCATTTGGATTTTGCGGAGGCGTTTCAGAAACGGCCTGCTTGGCAATTGCTTTCATATGTTTCTTGGAGGTCAAGTGGGCGTCATAAACGGTCTTCTTTGAATAGCTTTTCTGGCCTGGGCGGTGCCAACGTGAACACACGCGATTCGTTGAGATAAACGACTTAACTGACAAGCAGAGCACCAAATTCCCTCTCCTGCGCCGTCTGTATCCACTGATTGCTTGACGGTTTTATTTTCGTCCCAATCGACAAACTCGCCATCGTCCCATTTTTGGTAAAATTCGACTTCAGCTTCCTGGTGTTTTGTTTGAATATCTACAAGCGGCTGTGTCCGTTTTACAAAGGACAGGAGATAATCATGCAAGTGTTGAATGTACCTGGATAAGGAGTGAGGGCAGCTCACACCAGAATATCCACGGCTTACACCTCGTAATCTTTCGTTGCCCTAACCTCCCTCGAAAGCTCGCTGTGCAGTAGACCGTTGGGAGCAGCAAGCAGGATATCAAGATACTGAAGGTAAGGCAGTCGTTTTGAAATGTTCTTCAAGTTGTTGTATGCGGTGTGATTCGTGTACAAATCAAGGTACTTTCCATATGCTTCTTCACCAGAGAAAAGTAAAGATATGGCTGGAAAACAAAGGTGAAACAGTGTAAGATTAAGACTGCTGTGAACGCACGGTCTTCCTCCTCGTAATCATCTTCCAGCCCATCTTGATTACCTTCCTCCAAGATGGCAGCAAGCTCCATGTCGAAGCCTCCTGCTACAGCATCAGGATACTTGTTGTAGTGGTCCTGAACCTTCACCAACCGCGCATAGAATTCAGAAAGGTCATTCTGCGCTGCTGCTGGAGCGCTAAGTGTGCCTATCTCAACTTTCCGCGCATCTTCATCAAGGTAAGAGTTGTGCAAGGCTGTCACACGCGACGAGATGCGATCCAAGACCTGAGCTGCTTTGTGTTCTGTCTGAATCTTGATTTCATGAGTCGGTTGATTTCTTGATAGCAGTGAATAGAGAGCAGTTTCGTATCTTTCTATCTCCTCGTGTGTCTGACGCTGTGTTTCGATGATGGAGTCCATGTCGCCCAAGACTATACTTACTGGAATGTTCAAGTCCCAATATTGGGTTATATTTTCAATCTCCGATCTTTTCACCACCTCACCCATCTTCATAGGTCAACATGTCTGGGATCAACGCTGGAGACGAGGCAAGTTTGTCAAACAGGGCAAAATAAATCGCGTGGTTGTGCATGGTCTAACTGATTTCACAGAAACTTGTATTTGAGTCCTCCGAGGCAGTCTCGGTTGTGTCGACTTTTGATGACCTCAACTTGAAAGAGGACCTTCTTCGCGGTATATATGCGTACAGTAAGTTCATTTTTCTTGTTTCAGTGTTGCAAGTGCTCAAGTTTGTGTACAGATTTCGAGAAACCGTCTGCTATACAGCAGCGAGCTATTCTCCCAATAACGCAGGGTCGCGATGTCATTGCACAAGCACAGTCTGGAACCGGTAAAACTGCCACCTTCTCCATATCTATCTTGCAGTCTATCGATGTCTCTGTTCGCGAAACACAGGCACTGGTGCTATCGCCTACGCGCGAACTGGCAACCCAGATTCAGTCTGTGGTTCTCGCTCTCGGTGACTATATGAATGTCCAGTGTCATGCTTGCATTGGAGGTACATCCATTGGCGAGGACATTCGAAAGTTGGAATACGGTCAACACGTGGTGTCCGGAACCCCTGGCCGTGTTTTCGACATGATTCGGCGCCGTGCTTTGCGGACGCGCAACATTAAAATGCTGGTTCTTGATGAAGCAGACGAACTGCTCAATAAGGGGTTCAAGGATCAAATATATGACGTATACCGTTACCTTCCCCCAGCTACTCAGGTTGTCCTACTGAGTGCGACACTGCCTTACGACGTGCTGGAGATGACGACAAAATTCATGACCGATCCCATTCGTATCCTCGTCAAGCGTGATGAGCTGACGCTAGAAGGGATTAAACAATTTTTTGTTGCTGTAGAAAAAGAGGACTGGAAGTTCGACACGTTGTGTGATCTGTACGACACGCTTACCATCACACAAGCTGTCATCTTTTGCAACACCCGACGCAAGGTATGCCTCTGAACAAATCCCTCTTCAATGTAGCTTACTGGTTGACATAGGTTGATTGGCTAACTGAAAAGATGCGCGCGGCAAACTTCACCGTGTCATCGATGCACGGTGAAATGGTTCAGAAGGAAAGAGATGCTATCATGGCGGAATTCCGCGGTGGCACATCGTGCGTAATTTTTTTTTTGGGCTCGCTTGAATCTGGAAAAGTTTTGATCTCTACTGTAGTCGCGTGCTCATCACGACAGATGTTTGGGCCCGAGGGATTGATGTCCAACAAGTCTCCCTTGTTATCAATTATGATCTCCCGGCGTAATTAGTTTTGCCTCGATTTTTTTTTCAATCTACTGACTGATCCGCCTCACTCAGCAATCGTGAGAATTACATACATCGCATTGGGCGCTCTGGTCGTTTCGGCCGGAAAGGTGTTGCTATCAACGTACGTCATGTCCTGCGTCACACCCGCTTGATAATTCATGTATAATTCATTAGTTCGTGACTGTTGACGACGTGCGTATCCTGCGCGACATTGGTATGTTATCTTTACCTGGTCACCTTCATCGCTCACTCCACCCCAGAACAATTTTACAGCACACAAATTGTACGTTGCCCCCTCAGTCGTTGCTTCACACTGTCTTCCTCACTGATGATTCAATTCACAAGGACGAAATGCCGGTCAATGCTGCGGAGCTTATTTAGGAGTGATACGGCAGACTGCAGCCAAGTTATTACTTGCATTGAGCCCGAATGATATTCAATGGTCTGCATATTTGTATTTTATGACGTTTTATTTTTTTTTGCATTCGTCTTTAGTTGTGGTTGTATCCTTTGACTACCAATTTGTATGGGTTGTCACTAAAAGGCCATGTTGTCTTTGATTCTGGGGTACCAATTCATGTGAATATCGACCATTGTATGCACGGCATTCCCATCGCTTACACTGTTCGCCGTTCCGAGAAATGTTATGCGCTCGTCGGCATCGCATGGATTGAAGGCTTAGTCTATCTGTGCAGTACTCTAGTACATTAACGGACCGGTGTAAGCAGATCCCGTGGGCGTTTGTTACGCCTTGTCTTGTACTCGGGTCTCACTTCGCTGACGCTATGACTTTGTTCTATTATCTTCCGCCCGATCCGTTTAATGTTTCCCGTTACCACGGCGGGTTTCTAGCCGCCGGAGTACGTGATATTACTCTAATTTATTTCCGCCCCCTTTCAATCTTGCTCTGATCTGCTTTGTTCTTTGCTGTCATTCTTCGCTGTGCACCCTTTGTTTAACCAGTCTCTCAGCGGTTTGAAATAGAGCTTCTGCTACCTTGTTTTTTTCTATCCGTCACTGGTCATATCCGATGTAAAAGTTGGTGACGGAGTATTCCGAGTACTTAGTCTTCTTGAATATCATGTAGAAGTGCGGTACCCCGCCGCTTGCCAGTAACAACACCCGTCTGGGTGATATCTGCTCTGAGCTTGCACCACGTCATTAAAAAATTTCGAACGAGCAGTCTCGAGTAGGTGGCAAGGGCGCATGTCTTTCATAATGGTGCGTCTGATAATATATATTCCCACCGTGAGTGATGTGTTGCACGTCCATAGTTCTACTACTGAGTGCGGAGATCAATTCATAGTTGCGGCGTCTGCGGCAAGATTTGTTTGCCTTTCCTGCGAACCATCTTTGAAACCATATTCAGAGAACTGGGAGCATGCCGCTGTTTCAGTGCGCATGTCAGTACAAGTCTGATCACGCATGCCAAGTGGAAGGTGCTGCTTTTCCCATGATCCAACTAATGTGGTGTAGAAGAGATGAACAGCATGACTTATTTCACGCACTCGTGCGGACAAATATGATGAATTGAAGAGATAGCAGATCAATTACTGCTGGCTCCAACGCACCATACCTTCACTTGTGACCTTAAATTGTATTGAGGTCTGGAAAAGGTACTTACGGTCCCCTAGGACGGCCGGTGTAGAACAAGATAGAACCAGTGTCTAGGGGTGATAGTGTCAACAGTGGTCTAGGTGAATCATTTCAAAACAATAGAGGCTTCGATATCATACAGCATGACCTTGGACTATTTCATGGCACGATAAACGATAAACGATGTTACACGAGAGTGAGGGCGTGAGGTTTTATGTAATAAGACGGTAACTTATGCGAGTACCGCGTCAGTAACGCTACTATGTTCGAGTTCTAACACGGTTCCTGGTCCCTCTTTTGATTGTGAAACGTGAGGAAAACGGGACAAGCCCGATGGAACCTTAGGAACTACTGCAGAGAGACGATGCGATCATCGCATGCTTTGACGTTCTGAAGTTCTGACACAAGAAATTACAGGACGATCGAAGATCAGATTTGTTGAGATACCAAGATTAGACTCAAGTTGAAAATGATTCAACAGGACCTGTGGGAGGCATCGGGGAGTTCATCGTGTGCGGCATAATCGACTTCCACTTTTTAAGTACTGCTATAAGCAATGTACTTCAGTTAACGAGTGAAGCAGCCAAGAAATGTGGACACGAAGACAATGTCATGCCGACGCAAAGCCACCGGACCACTATTTGGGACCGACCGTCGGCGGCGACGAGATAAAATGCTAGTCATGGTGACCATGTAGTCACCTCTTCACACCTGAGAGGGAACAGTTAGCCGCCGTATACCATTTATACCACCAACCGTTGGATCAACACGTTCCTGAGTTGAATTGTGAGCGAAACATTTTTTGAGCGCGCAGGAGATTGCAGGGATGCGGCGGTGCGACAATCGCGCGATGACGTTTGACCTGCCACAGCGAGAAATGGTTCAAAATTATGGGAACTGTTTGCAGGCCGAGATCAGCATCTTGAGAGCGAACGGACGTTGGCCCGATGGGAGAAACTAGCATTGACACCGAGGATCTATGAATCATGTGGCAGCATAATCAAATTCCACTGACTTGCTATGTAAACTTGAATAAGCATCAGTTAATGGACGAAGCAGCCAGAAAATATGGACATGAGGCCGTGGGGCCGGTACAAGTCGACCGCTATCTTGCGACCGAGCATTGGTTCAAGCATGGTGATTAGCATATACTCTAGCCGCGATAGATGTCCATGGGACGTATATACTTTGCAACTTACGCCCGAGCTCGACCGGGACGGTCCACCATGTCCCCATACCGTTGGACCGCGTTGCCTGAAATAAAATGTGAGCCGCGCGGGTGACAAAAAAAACAGGGATTTTACTGATTTTTAGTGCGGCTATACATGTCAATCTTGAATATTCTGGAGAATTGTGCGGCCGGGAAGATCTTAGACCTCTTCAGAACCGCATGCGCCAAGATTACCACGTCGCTACTAGCAAATATCTGAGTAAATCACTATAGCCACAATTGATCATCACAGGATGCCATGTGTCGGGTATTGGTTGGATGTTACACCTTTTGACCAGTCACCGCAACGCTATAGAAGGTCGGTACATTGGGTATACATACAAACAAACAGTGGAGCAGAGTACTTGAAATAGAACCCCTAGATTGTCCCAAATAATTTCGGATCATGAAGATACTTGATAATGACTACGTGACTGCTAACCAGCTCACTGAGTGCTCGTTTTTGGATAGTCCGCAAGGTTTCTGTGAATGATGACAACACTTCTCAAACCGATATGAAAGTGTTTCAGCGCTGGGGAAGCTTCACGGCATTTGCGAAAAGGCCGGAGCCCCGCAGTCACGGCACAAGTTGGTCAAATACACTGCGATGTCATGAGCAAATTTGGCGGATCAAGCTTATCTTGGAGAAGTTGATCTGAGCTGCACTTCGGAAGGAAGATGAGGATAATAGAGTTGGTGGGAGCGCGGGTTGCATTCGCAACAACTAATTTTGAGACACTGTTGACATGACGCTATCGGTGATAACATGACAGCTCAAAGCCACGTTCACCGACGTACGTCAAGCCGTAAAGGTACTCACTTAGTCGCCTCCGGGCCGAAAGGAGGTAACTTAGGTTATAGCAACGTTTTGGTGCTGAAACTTTTCTGCAAGAATTGTGGGTCATTATCTGGGAAAGAACGCCGTTTTGAGTTCGCCCCACGTCTGCAGAAGAAGAAAAGGTATGCTGTCCCGGCTCCTCCGCTCGCAATCATCCGTACTTCTTGATGGAATTATCAAATTCCGTCGTCCTATAATGTGCGTGACATTGACGATATGGTGCAGGTCGTAAGATCACATGTGTATCGACAAGGGGTCAGGGTGCACATATTCGTTTTGAGCTCTGATCCCTTACTCATCAATCGTGCGACCACTGCGGGATTGCCATTTTCATAGCTGTTTGTCTTCACCGTTAAATGGATGCCGAGAATGGATTTTTGGTCTTCCCCATGTCGGCCTCATTTTACTTGTCGTGTAAACGGTGAGAGAATTATCTCGTTAGAATGGCCCTGATTTCAGGTATAAAAGACATACATATCGAATAGCTCCAGAACCACATCCCGATTATCATTATCATGTGTTACTGGAGAAGGTGGGTAGCCACTTGTTCGGCTGCAGCCATCGTCATTGACCCGCTGTCGTCCAGAGTGCGCAACTATTACAAAGGGTATGATCATATTTAGTGGTCAGAATACTTGACATCATCTTCCTTCATAGCTGCGGGCACTCAATAAATCTGGTACGATTCTTGTTAGCTTCACAGGTGTTGAATTTAGCCAATACATCACCTTGTGCAGCCCGACGAAGAGGTCAGAAGCAAGTAACTTTTTTGTTCGTCATCTTACCAAGTGCCTAGATCAAGTGCGACCTTAGAAACTGCAAATTCAGCCCCAAGCATTCACCGACATGTATACCGCCGCAGTGCACTAAAGTGTGCTGGCAGTAGTAAGTCTTCGTATCGCTGAATTCCAGACATCGCTAACTTGACGATATAGTCGCCAATACCCTCAGCAGTATGGTATGTCAACAAGTCAACTGCATCGACTCTATGCTGAAATTTGCTGCATTCAGCACCACAGATTGACAAGAAATGCCCCAAATGTAGTATACGTGGCTGAGTATGTGGACATCATCTCGAATGGATGTGATACAGACCAACATCACCCGACATATTTATCGTATTGTGATAAAAATATACGAGCTGAGCACATGAGTGAGCGTGAATTTGCAACAATAAGTTCAAGACGGGCTCAATCATCCACAATATTATGCTTCTTCTTCAACTGTGCTAACTCTTCCTCTCTTCGGGCTAGATCGGCTTTAGCAGCAGCAGCGTCCTGCTTCGCTGGCATATGATACAAAACAACAATATATCGCTCTTGCAGATGAAAACCATTCAGATGTTCAAGAGCATTTTTGGCCTACGTCAGCGGGAATTAGATATGATGAACCTGTCAGGACAGGGAAAAACGTACATCCATAACATCATCGAATACCACAAAGGCGGTTCCTTTCGTCTTCTGCTCATCCCCTATGCGTATCTGCCTGATGCTGCCATACCGTCCAAAGAGGTCGTACAAGTCTTCCCCAGTAATCTGGTAGTTCAGGTTTTTGACGAAGAGTATACGATTGGCACCTGGAGGCAATTTTGACTGCGGAGAGTTCAGCTATACTGATGTATGTCACTTTACGATGCAGCTCACAGTCGGTCTTGGGGCAGCCATGGTGGTTTGTATTGATCAAACTTCATAATTACGTAATATATCGATGATTAATTATCTGCGTAGTCAGCCAATAAAAAATAGTTAACCATCAAGCGCGTTCACATCGCGGGGTTACAAAGTTCAAACACTTGAGAGCTATCGTTCAGGATCGACTGGCCAATTGTCTGGAAATCTCAGCTTGCGTATAAAAGTTAGACTAACTGTTTCTTGAATCTGAAATTCATCAAGGGATGATCAACACCCCTCTAATTAATATTAATGAAGCAAGACTGATGGGTACATCGTCTTTTATTTACGGCTCACCGCCCCAAGCGACGACTTCCTCGAGAGCTGCAAGGCAATCTCAGACAGTATTCGGGGGTCGGGGGTAGGCGTGAGCAATGGGAGGCGGGTGACTTGAGAGGAATATTGTGACAACCGAAAAGTTTTAAATAATTGGAAGAGCTTTGGGAGTTGGTTTACTAGCTGACGCAGATGTCCACGAGAGCATGCCCTCCGCCGTCAAGTAACGAACAGTTTTCAATCTTATTAAAAGACAGGATGTATATCTGACCTTGACTACGGATGGGTGATAATGTTCATTACGTAGTTTGCACGCGACAGTGATAGTTTCTCAGAGGTCGAAGCAGGTGTAATTCTTCTGTCTTGGATAGAAATTGGAGTACGAGGGAAATATCTCTTGTATGATGATCGGAATCCTACGACAAGAACACGCATGCGAGATGATAGTGTTCCTAGGAGAAACAGCTGGCCAACCTGTGATCCTAAAAGAACGATGTGGAGACACGGGCATACTGAATCATAAGGTAAGTGGTTCTGTCTTCGAGACGGCACATGGGACTCAATAGCCACTCGCCATATATATTTTAACAAGTCACTAACGACAGACGGACGATGCATCACGTTGAATATGACCTCGTCAGCCGTTCGACTGGTGCACACTCCTCCACCCCCCTGACGCAAATAACCGTTGCAGCTTCTGTATCTACAGCGTCTGGGATAGTACACTTGATGTCCTCTGCATTGGGACATGGACAATCAGCCGGTCTTTCGACACACGTCAGGGTACTTGGGCACAGGTATTGGGAACATGGGACTAAAAAAATCAAGAGTTAGTGATTCCTAGAGGTAGTATATTAAGTGGGTATGGATACTGACGAGCTTCTGAATGCGCTATCCATTGGGAGTTGTCAGAAGGTCTAGGTTGTTGTTGTTGCTGCTGCTGTTGGGAATGCCCAAACATCTGATCAAAGAAATTGAATTGTGCGCCCGCCAGCGGGAGGGAAGCTGCTAGAAGTAAGATCAAGCTGCGAGTCATTGAATTGATGATTCGTGGTCTCGCTGTCCAGGTTAGACGTGTCGATTGCCACGTGCACCTAGTACGCTTTAAGTCACGGTAAAAAGTTTATCCACCGACCAGTAGCTCTAGTCAGAAAGAACATAACAAATTAGACTTGAATTAAACCGACAAATCGAAGGTCATGGGTTGAACCACATGTTGTTCTAGCAACCGGCGTTACAGTATCAAATATATGTAACTGACAATGTGCAGATAGTCATCGGAGATCTCATAAATACCATGTGAATGATAGATGGGGCCAACCATGTAAGACGGATGGAAGATAGGAGAAAATAGGTTGTGTAAATCAAATGGACTGTCCCGTAAGCTTAAAAGTTCCTCCCCAAACCCCCTCCCATGTTCCTATGTTGAGAAGGTGGCCGTCGCGGGTTATCTTCAAGACGCCCGTGGTGTTATAACCCCACAACTGCTAGCTGTGATAACGGACAGTTGATGGGATTCCCTTCGAGTGGTAGGTCGATCTGAGCGAAACGATTTGTCTATCAGAAGAGAGGATCGTATCAAAGAGGCTTTCTTGGCTTTCTTTCGAGGAGGAATATTCTCCTTAGTGATCTCCCTTTCAGAAAGGACTTCTTCAGAACTACTAGGCCATGAGTCTTCATTATCAGAAGACGGACTGGTACGTCGCGATGGTGTAAGAGATATGTGCGTATCTTGATACGTGTCAAAGCCAGGATAATGCACTGACTGACGATCATGAGGCAGTGGCATTTCGCGAGGAATTGCCATTGAGGCAGCGCCAGATTCAGCGTCGCGTTGGGATGACTGCAGGCGAGACGAGCGACGGAGGCTAAGTGCAGATGCTGAGGTATCTCCTGCACCATTGGTTGAACGTATCAACTTTGGCGAAGGTCTCCTCGGCGTTCGTCTATCCCTTGAGCTCCCCTGGGTGGCACCAGCATATTGTGCGGGTGATGTCAATGCTATTGACGAATCGTGGGAGGGTCCGACATCACTTCCAGAATATGGAATGTGAAATGGCAATGACGACGGGGAAGCTTCACCAGGTAGAAGGATGCCCTCTGAGTGCAGAATGCGGCGCTTAGCCGGGCTAAAAATGGTGGATTTTGAAGGCGAAAGAGGGCGTTTAGCTGGTTTAGCAATGATAGGAACTGGATTAGCGCTGCTGGGTAAAAAATGCGCAAGTGGGAGTTCTTGCAGAGGGCCAGTGCGAGCCATCATGGGCATTGTAGAGAACGTTCAAGAAAACAGGCAATGCTGAAACGATATATGTACTTGATTGATAGCAGGTGGTTGGAACTGGGTGTCAGAGGCGCGCGAACAGCCGGATTTCATAACAACACGTGACATAATGTCACACTCGCAAAGATAGTTAATTCGATCACTACGTATCAAGCAGGAACTTCCGCAAGCATCACCACATCAAAAGCACCAGTACCCGTTTGGTTAGGACGTCCCATGACCAGATTACCTGATGGCGTGGATAAGTCATCAAAGTCACCATACAACGTCGCGTCTGAAAGGAAGGCAGCAGTTGTCTCGTACGACGCCTTCAGAAGAGGCGAAGGATTACTTGAAAGACCCTTGCGATTGAATGGCTTGTAGGCGCCTTCGAATGTCTGGCCATTGATAGGTTCGTGAGTAAGTTAGTTGCGTGCCTAGCCAGTAAAGGTCTGACCATATAATCTGCAATGAGTTCCAGATGCCTCCCGTCAACATCAATCTTGTAGGCGTCAAATACTCCACCAATCTCTCGTAATATCGCAGCACGCGCCATCTCCACGCCGTAAGCTTTGAGGATGGAGTAGATGTCATTGGAGTAGATAGTATCCAGGTCAATGATGTTGTCATCTGTTGCGCCTGTAAATTGCCAAATACCCCGCAAGTTAGATCCATTGGTAGTCAACTACGTTGATGAATTTCAGCTCCCAGTTCAGGTTGAACCATACAATGACGTACTCGTATTTTCTCCACTCCGCGTTCCTTTACAACCGCACTAAAGCAATCCGTGATACCAGGGATCTCCCGGATAACAGTTCTCAGACAAGTGCGCTCCACTATGCCTACCAACAAAATTTTTGGGAAGTCTGCGGGAAACTGAAAACTTATGGTTTGATGGCAAAAAATGTAAGGCACAAATGACACGAACCTCGAGCCGAATAGAACATTTTGACTCCGTAAACGTGAACGAAGTTGCTTGATGAAAAATATTCATGAAGGCGTCCGCTACGACTTCAGTCTGGGCGTGAATAGCCGTCGGATGACCAATTTTGTCGTCGTTGCTGTCTTCGCCTTCGCCATCCACCGCGTCTGAGGCATAAGCCGCCTCGATAGTGGCATCGTCCAAGTAATCCCTATCACTGTCATTGTCAGACTCGTAGGATGTCTGCTCCTTTTGCTGACGAGCTCGCTTGGCGTCAATAGCATCACCATCCCCTTGCTCACTCTGGCTATCATCATCCTTACCACGGCCTGGGCCTTCACCCTCACCCTCACCATCTTCAGCCTCAGCCTCGCCAGCTACAGGTTCTTTGGATGCCTTCCCTTTCCCAAGCTGCGCTATCTGGCCCTTCAGATCTGTGTCGAGCTTCTTCATCTCCGTCTGAATTTCCTTCTTGAGTATTGACGGGAATTTGGCTGCGAACACGGCAAGAACTTCCTCGGGTAGAATGTCATACTCCTCGGTGTATTCTTCCGCGGGGAAGAAGTCGATCTCTATAACGAATTCGGTCCGGCGCGCATCGCTCTGTACAGTCAAACGCTCTTTGACTGTCACATTGTCAACCAGCTGAGACAACGCCAACTTGCTAGCTCGCTTGCAAAAGATGTCAATGTCCAACTGGGACACACCATGGGCAACTTCCATAGTCATCGAAGGTGTCTTAGGCTTTTGTGAAGCTGTCATCACAATCTCCCGCAGCCGAGGAATACCTAGTGTTACGTTGGCAGCTCCGTGACCTATATTAAAAATGTGAATATCCAGCACTTTGCAACTTTATAACAAAAACTGACCTGCAAAATGGAACGTATTAAGTGTCATCTGAGTTGACGGTTCTCCGACGCTAAAACAAGTAAGGATTAAGACATGCACGGGATCTGGAAACTTACCCCTGAGACGCCAACAAACCAACAGCTTCCCCAGGTTCCACCAAACTTCTTAGATACTTGATATTCATGAGCAAGTTGAAATATCTGGTTTTCATGGGTTCATGCCGACGCTTAATCTTGGGGCCGTCCGTCGCCTTCTTATCTTTGTTCATCAGTAACCCATCAGGGTTAGCGTTGATGTACTGAACCAATGCCCCCGCAAACTTCTCTGATGTGCTGCCAAGGTATCGACTAGGGCTATACACATCCAAGGCAGGAGCGCGCTTCTCTCGCTCGGCGGGCGTGTACTTGTCCGGACGTACTTCTGATTTCTTCAGAGTTTTCTTCATATAAGATACGGCGTCACTGTCGTTGATATGACCAGCAATGCTCTTAGGCTTGTAAAGGTTGAGAAGGGTGATCTGGTTCCGAGCAATGAACTCGAACTGGTAGAGGTGTTTCTGCTTTGTAACATCTAGGCCATCGCCGCCGTAGTGGAACTGGTATATGGACGAGTCACTGCCACGGACGGTATGATCATAGTGGACACGGATGCCCTCAAGGTGCTTGATGAGGCAGCGCTGAAGATAACCGGATCGAGACGTCTTGACGGCAGTATCGATAAGACCTTCACGTCCAGCCATGCAGTGGAAATAAAATTCTTGCGGCTTGACACCCGTCAAGAAGCGACTGGCAACATACCCACCTGCCATGGCTTTCGGCTCGAATGACTTGAAAGATGGAAGAGTTTTTCCGCTGACCATTACGGGTACGCGACGACCTTCCAGTTCCTGCTGGCCAAGTGCACATGATATCTGCTGGGCATTGACAGCACTACCCTTCGCACCAGATAGCGTCATAGTTTGCATGTGGTTGTGAGGAAATTTGCGCAGAAGACCGTGAGGCATACAAGCGTCGGCGATGGATTTGGTTAGGCCCGAAAGCTTAGTCTTGACGGTAACATCGAGACCAGCCATTTTGCTGTCGTCCCGTAAGACATCTTCGAGCAATGTCGTCAATGCTGCTGGAACTTCCTCCTTGGGTAGTTTGCTCAACGAAGGGAAATTCTCGACGGCGCCGTCGAACCCAAGATCACGGCCATGTTGGAGGAGTTCAGTTCTTCTCTGGTCTCCATCGGGCGTTAATGCCAGATCGTCCATGCGACACGTGAACGCCCGATGTTGTAGAAACTTTGTGAATAGCCGGCTGAGAACGCCGAGAAGCTTCCCAGCAACATCAGCTCCATACAGCTCGTACACCGAGTGCACAAGGCCATAATCGGTGGCTCCGAACGCGGATTTGTCAAGGACACCACAGAGAAGTTCGCCGTCAACAAAGATGACCTTGTCTTCTAAGGAATGTTTGCCCCATAGATGGCCGGGGACTTTGGCTTTGGAATCAAGGTTCAGCCCCTCTGCGTTGCTCGGAGTAATGTTTTTCAGGACCGTCGAGATCTGCCGATTGCGATTAGGGGCTGAGCGGGCGAACAAAGCACTGTTACTTACGACCTGTTTTCCTGTCCAAAGCGGACGTGGCTTCCATATGGTTGGAGGTAGAGTGATCAGCCGTGATAGATGATAACTCTCATCCTCAGGACGGAGTGCTCCGTATAGTAGTTGGAAGTACTCCTCGCGAGAAAAAAAGGCGTCTTGACAGGTCATCCAGACCCCAGCAACAACGTGGTCCTGGATGAGGCCGCGTAAGGGTTTACCAGAAGTCGGGACTAAATACTGATTCTCAGTATTGGCAATTAACATCGCCTCCGCACGTGCAACCTGGTTTTCTTCAAGGGGATTGAAAACATGATATGGATTATAATTCGAAGAAGCTCACGAGGAAAATGAATGTTCATTTCTACCCAACAAGCGGCTTAGTTTTTCGTTAACGTCGGAACTCCAAAACAAATGCTCACCGTCACCATCGAAGTCAGCTGAGAGTAGTTACAATTAGGTACAGTTATGCGGATTGAATTTGGAATGCATACCATTATAAGAGTTACTAAGGATAAAGAAGATTAACCATTGAACCTACACTAGCAATTGAAAACTTACCAGTTCGCATAATGCATCCTTATGGTCTTTTCGCCTCGTAAAATCCGGGCCTTGTGGCACATCATGCTTGGCTTGTGAAGAGTTGGTTGACGATTGAGGATCAGAATGTCGCCATCCCGAAGATGCCGATACACCTTCTTGTTGATCGAAGCTGTGCGCGTTGCGAGTCCGCGACGACCTGACGAGCTGTCGCTGCCATCTTGAGGTGTCAACAGCTGGTTGGCGATGGCCGTTCTCTGCTCAGGTGAGAGTTTTTCCTAGCGAATCAAGTCAGAACTGCGGAAATAGCGTAACATAAAATATTACCAAGGACTGTTTATGCCCATCTTCATACTCAACCATCGTCGCTCCTGGATAACCCTTCGGACCAGTAATTACCCATTGCCGCAGTTCGTGGAAATTTGCAGGAGTCACAGGCTCAGGAAAGGTAAGTTTCCTCGCAAAAACAGGAGGGATGCCAATTTCGTTTGGCTCGATATTTACATCTGGTGAGATGACAGACCGCGCTGCATAGTTGACACGTTTACCCTGCCAAGAAAATTAGATAAGATGCACTCAGAAAAAACTATTCCGTACCATCATATGTTTGCGAAAGAGACCCTCCTTCTTTTCGAGCCCCTGCTTGACACCAGCTGGGGGGAGTTTACCGTTGCGGACAGGCGTAGGATTTTTGTTGCTGTCCATAAAGCTATTGACGTCGGCTTGCAACTGAACGAGTCCCTCGAGTAAAGCACTAAATAAACGACGCCGCGTCGTGTCGTCAACACCTGATTGCTTCAATGAAGCAGCATGGAGGTCTGCGTTTAAATCACGTAGCCTATATGACGTATTCAGAATCTTAGCCAAAAGCTCATTCTGGGGATGCTCGAACAACGTTTCACCCATTGTAGCAGGTGGGCGAAAACGCGTTGGTGGAACAGGGATCACTTCCATGAAGAACATGTCGGCAGATGCCAGAGACAGACCTGCAGCATTTAGGGGAGAGAAGGGCCCATGTCGGCCAAAGATGAGAGAACAAATCTCAGGGCAATTATGGAACAGAAGACGCAAATGAGCACGGCATTCTTCTGGTGCCATAACACGCTCATTGCGGCCGCGTGCGGTCTTGACTTTACCATTTGCAGCACGAGGAAGACCGTTCTCTTTCGAGGGACGGGTAGCTTGGAGTTCCTCTTCCTCGTCTGAGTATGTCGGCTCCCCCTCGGGTTCGGAATCAGACTCCGAGTCTACGTCCATAGTATTCGAAGGTTCGGAGTGAGATTTTGAAGCATCTGCAGCTTGCTGCTGGAACAAGAGGACATCTGGCCTTTTAAGGCTAATAGCTCGATGCTGGTTTTTTTGCTTCACGGAGAGATCATATTCGATTATTTTGGTGAATCCCTCCTTGCGGAACGTGTAGGCGAAGCTGTTATCTTGCTAAGCCAAAATCCAACATACAGCGAAAATAGCAAACTCACGCGCCACAACCTTCATTGCTACATTTTTTGGTGATAGTTGTCCTCAGAAACTCTTGGATGAGATCTTTCCGGGCCTGATAGACAAGAGTGTCCTTGTAGTGATCTCGCTTGCTGCCAGAGGCCTTGCTGAGATGCACCATAACGAATACGTTAACACGATATTCTAATTCAGGAATAGTTTCGTCGCGGCTATCTTCATCGTCATCATTGGACGTGTGTAAGGTGATATTGTCCACGTCGAGAGCAGCTTCCAGGAGACCATGTTCCAAGAGGCGGAATTTGGCGACATATTTGCAGATCTAGCGAGGAGCACTTCAGGCAAGGAGAATAAGCAGAGGGGTATGTGCGTACCACTGATCGACTCAGTTTGAATCTATGACAAAACAGACAGGTTGCACGGAGAATGTTGTACATGTTTACCATGAACAGAGGGTGGTACACAGGGGCAGGCAGTTCAATGTGACCAAAGTGGCCTGGGCACGTGAAGTAGGTTAAGTGACATGTTGCACAGCTGGAGGTATAGCGTCAGCGCACCTGTCTCAAGACTACCAAGAGCTAGGCACTCACATGTCTTGACGATCGCTGGGACCAAGCGCAGGATCATACAAGCCACCGATGTTCGGCCTGTTCAAGTCATCCAACAATACTGGGTTCAAAATCTGCTTGACTGATATCCTCCGGATGTCTTCCGCTGTCAGGAATGAAAAAGAGATGCTTGAGACGGTAGACGGTATGGAATGTGATATGTTCATGGCGAATGCGATGGTGAATGTTCACTGTTGTGCTTTTGGGTGTTTCTACTCTTGGGAGAATATCATATAAAGCTAGCACATTCTTTTCCAAGCTGGTAAATGCGACGAAAGCTTAGTACGAGACGCGATCGACATCGACTAAGTTTTTTCTCCCTTCTAATTTGAGCAAGTCACGTGAGTGTACATGTAGGAATATCGTTCATGGCACTTTGAATGTGAAGCTTTGAAGACCTGAATGAAGTATCTATATGACTTTTGACGGCAAAATGTGAAACTGTGATGGATGTATTAACGCATAGTACCGCTACGCTTGATACCTGTCCGACTCTGGCCACTATTCTTCTGCGCCTCACTTACTAGTTCTGCGATCAATTTGTTGTATGTCTCCGAGTCCTGCTGGAGAGCATCGCGAGTTTGTAGAAGGTGTGTAAGTAAAGATGAGGTATTGGTTGTCTCTGTCCGGAGATTTATCAGACACCGTTCAAGTTTTGCCAAGGGTAAGAGGGTTAATTGATCTGCTTGGCATCATATATGATTGTTCAGATCACGGCTAGAGGAAACAGACATACCAGTATCAAGTTTGAGTAGTTCCTCTACTTTCTTATCATCTAGTTGGGGTTTGGGTCCAATACCAAGCTGTGATACGGTTGGTCCTGCCCGCGTAGACGGCTGTGGAGTGCCCATCCGAGGTGTTCCTGCACGAGAATTGGCTCTAGACGATGGGGTACTCTGCAGTGGACCATTGCGAGGCCCTGGGGGTGCAGACATCGGTCGTGTTGATATATGTAGTGGGGGAAGGGGCTTGCCGCTTGCGTGTGGTAGTATTTCATCTAAGTTCACGGGCAGTCCAAGAGCGATTAAATGTTGCTGTCGAATGCGTGAGCGTGTCCAGTTGATGGGCTCCATGTGGGGCGGTGAATCCAGAAGCATGGTATATAATCCACGACTTTATTACCTAGAGCTTGAGCATTTGAAGGGAGATATTTCAGGGACAACGAACCTTTCAGGTGTGACCAATATTTGGCTGACACCCTCTGCCTGTCTGATGTCTTCATCTGTTGTCAGCGAAGAGATATCCCAAATCCATACAGGATCCAAGATGCGGTTGATCTGTCCCTCTAGATCTTCTCCGGAAGGTAAGGGGGTTAATCTGAGCGGCTCCCAGGTAGTATGAGATGGACCCGGTATTGGCTCTTCATGAAACGTATCATCTTCTGAGAAATCTCCAAAATCTCCATCCTGCCCGAAATCTGCATCGTGTCCGAAACCCCTGCCGCCTTCCAGGTCCCCTGCTTCTCCGAAATCCCCAAAGTCACCAAAATCATCTTCCTGTGCAATAGATGGGTTCTGCGTTTGTGGGGGCGTATGAAAGTCATCGTAATCGTCTAGTCGGTCTTGAGAGGGCGCAGGAGATGGTGGCACAGGTGATTCAGGTGAAGAGAAAGATGTAATATTTGCGAGTCGTGTTGCAATTGGGTCATCGGGTGTCAGAGTAGTACCCCAGACTGAAGCTCCAAACATGACATCTTCGTCCATTATTCGCTTGAATCTGCTTTCAGTTGTGACTTGTGCTGTTCAGCGATCGATAAATTTGGGCTCGAACTCTGAGTTTAGTCGGTATAACGCCGGGTGGATGTTGTTATCGTGACTAGAAAGTCTTTGAAAATCATGATGCACTAATTAACGTGACGCTGGAAGTAAATTAGGCTTGCTCCTTGTCATGACTTCCAACTTTGAGCCAGAGCCTCCTGCTTTCGTCTTTGAAAGGGCTTACAACAACGACCATCAGTTCCTGTTCGATTTTCCGAATAAAAAGATAATGCCCAATGCGCGTCAAATACAGCTGCAGCGCCTCTATGATATCGTAAATCTCAGCGTACAGCGAGACGACCTTCCTCGTGCTAGACGTGCTTGGTCCATCCTAGCCAGGTGCAAAGAATTAAATTGGAAAGCAATGTGGAGGCTGGGCATCACCTTACTCGAAAATGATGTCCGTGTCATGGAGAGCAACCCACACAAAATAGATTTTCTACGGACAATGTTACTCCAACTTCCCGAGGAGGTATGTTCCAATTTGCTGTCCTTATAATCGTGACAAAGTCAAATACTTCCAAGCGAGAACGCATTCTTGCTGAATTGGTCCAGCATTACATTCTTGCTGGCAGGTACAGAGATGCACTCGATGAGCTTGAGTTGTATGTTCCTTTCTCCATCGAGAAAACCATGGTCTGATTGTAGCAGTTACCTCCCTTCATTCCCTTATCGTGACAATCCAGTACTTCACGTCTATGCAGGCTTGCTGTGTATTTTCATAGCCCAGCCTCCAGAATCAGCTGGTCAGTGTTTGAAGTGTCGACTATTCTGGCATATCCGTCTTAGGCCCTTGCTCCAGGTGCCAATGAAGTCGAGGGATCTACCTATGACAACAACTCTCTCAGTCGCGCTCAGACCTATCTTGAACACGCAAAGGTATTGGATCCCAATAACATTATCGTAAGCGAATTTTTGCACAAGGTAAGGTGTCGTGATTCTGTCCAACCTGAGAGCTCACCTTCGTCAGCTGCATTCCATTTCTCAAGGACCAGGATTACTCTCTTTTGCAAGCCATCATTCTGAAGATGAGACTCACACCAAAGGTTTTCAGCCATCGCAACCAAAGCGAAGGAGAAGAAAATTTTGAATGTAGTCGTTCAACGGCTCACAAGTGAATGCAAGGCCGTACCCCACTTGTATCGCACTATCAACTATCTGAATCCGACTCCATATCAATAATCGGTATTCCTTCTTCTTCCTCTTCATCGTCATCGTTCACCATCACCGGGATGATCCGAGGCTCAGCTGTAGGAGGAGTAAGGTCCATCTGAGTAGAAGATGACGGTAGCAGAGATTTTATTGGTTGTTGACCTGATATCGCTGAAGGGATGTCGGCAGAATCTTTTGTTGATGCTGTCGTGATCGAAGATGTCATTTTTTGACTTGTTGGCACTGAAGATGATATCGAGATTGGTTCAGGAGCTGTGATTTTTGGTGTTGGTATGGGTAAAGGCGTCGGTACGGGCTGAGGGGTTGGTTCGGGTGTCGGGGTCACTGCAGTTGGGATCTGCCACGACATCCATGATATTTGCATCATATGTTGTAGCCAAGGCAAGTGATCTACGAGCAGCAAGCTCTTCGTTGTTTTCCTCCGCGCGAAATAGAGATAGTGCTTCCACATGAGGCAGCGGGCGGACTAGTGGTGGACCGCGAGGATGAAGAAGAAGGTCAGCTTCTTGTTGTAATTGCAGTTTTATCTGCATAGTCTACAAGCAAACAGGTCGTCATGTTGGTAAAACAAAAATAAGATAAACATTGCCTACGTGTTCATTGCCTTCCGTTACAGTTGATCTGAGGACCAAGCCAAGGCTTCTGCTCATCGCACTTGTCGTCCCTCGAGCAAGCTCTAGACACATTCCGTTCACTTTTGCAAGTACTAAACTGTGCAGATGAACGTCTTGGGATAAAGAGGAGCGCGACATAGCTGTCAATGATAGTGACAAGGATAACATGACACGGCAGGCCACAGAGCGGATGGCGGATGGCAACTCAGCGCCTCGCATTGTAACTTGCAGAGCTAGAGGATGATTAGCGATCAGTTGGCTGATCTTGACCTGAACTCACCATCTAGAGCACAAAGAATAACCTTTCCCTCGGCGATCGATGAACAAATGACATCTTTTGATAGTTTAAATACTTCATCGCCTTCGTAATCTCGTCTACGTTTCCTGCCTTTTTTGCTCTGTCCAGAACTCATTTCGCCTGTATGTGCATCAAACTGTGTTGACAGCAGCGGCATGAGAGAAAGCATGACGCCTTTGACGAGCCTCGTGGAACTAAGCTCGCCGCTGGTAGGGAAGCTATTGCTCAGTAAAGCTTGGATGCACTGGAGCAATGAACATCGCCGCTCTCTAAGACATACATAGGTCAATACTTCAGGGTTAAAGTTTCAGCGACGCACGGTAGAGGGTTTTGTTCGAGGTGGTATGTTATCATAGCAACTAGTCGGGACACGTACGGTGTCAGTCGATGCTGAACGCTAGATCAAGGCCGTCACTTGAGAGATAGAATAAAATTGTGTTGTTACCCACGTCTTTGCCAGGCAACAGAGCAGATCACAAGCAGAACTCTGCAGCTCAGGCACAATAGCAAGTTCCAAGGCTCTGACTGTTGCGTCAACGTGGCCTTCTTTCTAGCATTGGGTTGAAAAAGTGTCGGCAGAAGAAATACAAAAGAAATACCTCTTCTTCAGCGGTACAAGCTAGCAGGAATAGACAGAACTCCATTATACGTCCTATGGGCACATGGACTGGTCTTTGAACGGTCGTCCTGCACTTGTGTAAGTATATTTGTACCATCCCGTTCAATAAATTGACCTTAGTAAACTGCAAAGCGCAGTAGCACAGCATTGTAATCTATCAAGATTGAGGGCGACAGCTAGCACTGGATCATCACATGTTAGTCCATTGGAGGGTGAGGGGTTGTTCTTCACTATATGAGATATCAATAGGAGGTTGATAGGTCAGATACCAGGGCCTTGCCTGGAAATGTCGTTCTAAGACCCATCGACGCAGTCCAGAGACACTGAAGGGTCTCATCTACAGACTTCTTCCACAGATTTGCGGCCCCAACCTTGCCCCCGGTATAATGAAGAACGGCGTACAGGCTCGCCGCTTTGTACAGCAGCAATTTATTCGTGCGTTGCGGTGCAGATCCATTGAGTATTTGATGACACACATTTGTGATAGAGGAACTCAAGGCTCTATTCAATGAAGGATACAGAACAACCATATCCTTCAATGTGTCCATCGCTAGAGCCTGACATCTTGCTTTCAGACCCCTGTTAGTTTTATAAAAGCCAAACACGAACTTTTAGCTCGTAATCTGCAGCCCTTTCGACGATAGATACCAGCGCCTGGCTAAATTTTGGAACGGTAGGAGTGGCTAGTTGCCTTTGGAGCTCTGGCACGTCGGTTGCTGCACTGAGGACATGCCGAAGATATCTTATTGACGCCTTAAGCAGTGGCAGAGGTTCGGGTTTCTTGGGTGACATATTAGATATCTGATTATCAGAATGGGTGCATCTCACAAACTAACTGTAAGGATGGACAGCGCGAGTCCTGCCCAGCTCTGCGCAAACTCTGTCATCGTAGACTTTGATAGCGATGAAGTACGATATGCAATGCATATGCCAGCCCACCGAGCTCCGGCATCTTTTGAATGAATCAAGGCAGTCACCCGGGATGTCCATTTCTGAAGATGAGGGGAAGGGGACAAGATGTCCTCTGATAAAGTTGACAACACAGATGACAGGTGTAAAACTGAAGACGAATCCGAGGCTAATTGCAACTGGAGCAGTGATTTCAGTGGATGAGAAGCCATTGCTCGGGACGCGGAAAAAACCAGCAAAGCCTAAGGCGAGGGACGCGATGCCAATGACTTTGAAAAGATTGAATTACTAAATTTGGGCAGGAGCTTTAGCTTTAAACAATAGTAAACGGGCTCTGCTACCCGTCGGCTAATCATCGCCCTGATACAGGTTGCAACATGCAGCATTTCGGCGACCTTGACTCGGCTACCGAGGAACAACTGCGTCTCAACAATTTTGAGGTGCATCGCATTGTTTACACTACATGCAGTTGGGCTGATGTTCAACGTCGAGTAGGGCAAATTCGATGTTAAAGAATTTGTTGGATCTATATCTGAGAGATTAATCACGCAATCAAAGGCAAGCTCTGGGCGTACGCGTGTGTGTGCTCCCTTCGTAACATTGTCTCACTTTGCGCTTTGTCCAGCATTCGATCCCAAGCCATTTATACGAACATTTGAAGCAGTCGTAGACAAGTTGATCAGTGTGCGCAAGGATGTCCAGGCTAAGACGGAACAGATGGAAAAGAGTGTTCGAGTGGCAGAAAGGGAGTACTCGAAGAAGATGGCAGACCTGAACCGAGGATTCGAGGTACGTTTCCATGCGCAGTGTAGGCTGCCCCAGTTGACTACCCATGCTCAGGCCGTTGGATCATCCTTTTCGACAATGGAAAGCAAGATGAACGAAGTTGGACGCACTGCGGTCCGAATAGGTGGCTTGCATTAACATTTTCGATACTCTCGTTAACTGTCAGCGTCAGGTGAACAGCTGGAATCCATTCACATTGAACGCCAGAGAGCCCAGGCTGCCCATGACCTCATCAATTACTACAACCAATTTTCGCGCGGTGATACTTCACGTTTGGATGCTTTGAAGAAAGAAGGTCGAGAAGGTCGAAGTCAAGTTGCCGTTATATTGCGCCGACTCACAACTGTGGCCCGAGAGGTGGATCTCCCCAGTGCAGACAAGGTATTGTTTACTGTTCTTTTCCTTCATCTAGTGGCATGACAGATATTTAGACCCGAGAGAACATTGACAAATACTGCGAGAAGTTCGAGAAAGACATGATATACCTCTTTGACCGATGCTACCGAAAAGGAGACCCAAAGTTGATGCATGTGTGTTTCTTTATTTTCAATATGTTATGACATATCTGATATTTCGTTAAGCATTGCGCACAAACATTGTTAGATTTCAATGGTGGTGCATCTTGCGTTCAAATCTATGTCAACCAACATGATTTCTTCATGAACAAGGTTCGTGACACTGCAAACCACAGTGACGACCTGTTGTACGTTCTCCGTTGCCTACAGAAACCCTCTTCTTACTATTCCATGCAAGGTGGAATAATGTTTCCAAACCGGACGAAAGCCCGCCCAAAACAGAATCAGGCCTCACAGAGTTGTTCGGAGAAATACGAGCAACTGTCGCCCAGGAATCACAGATAGTCCAAGCAGTATTTCCAAACCCACCATTTGTCATGCAAGTTTTCCTGCAGCGTGTTTTTGCTCAGTCTGTGAGACAACGGATCTTTATATGATAACGACAGTGTCTGATTTCCTGCAGATCCAACAATACATGGAGCAGCTCTTGACAAAGGGCTCTTCTCTTTCTGATCTGGCTTACCTACGAATTCTACAATTGGTGCACAACCAAACATCCAACCTCGTCGAAGACCTGAAAGCTCATGAGCTCCCATCCATCACACCCAGCAAATCATCTCTGGAGATATCAGAGTTTCGTAGGGTTCTCTCCGGTGCACTGACGGTTTCTGGAACGTCGACAACGTCTGTTGTGAGCGCCATGCTAGAAAACGCGATGGCAGAACTGTTTGTACCATATATCGAGGGCCAGAAATATCTTGACAGAGAGAGCAAGAGTCTTGGCGAGCTTTATGCGGGACTGCTTGCGAATTATACTCGATATCATGTAAGCACGTTAAATATTTTTGCCGCAGAACGTGATTCCTATTGTAATGCAGATGAGAATGCAGAAAGTAAAATCCTCGATGTTTGATCGGATGGTGGACAGGCTCGGAGCTGCTGCCGCGAATACTACGACATCCGGTGGTTCAAGCACATCGGCACAGGCTGCAGCGCTGATCATGCGGTATGGAGGGATAAGCTCAGAAAGAATACAGGACAAGAGCTCAGAAGATAACGTGCGGGAAGAAGACGGTTTGCTGAGCATTGACGTTGCAGAGAAGATGCTCAAGTGGCATGCGGAAGCTGTTGGGAGATGTGTTGAGCTGACTTCTCAAAATGACGTGTCAGTCTCGCGTTGCACAGCATGATACCTGATCTGATCTTACCCGCGTCCCTATAGCCCTAAGAACACATTTATCCTCCTAAGAGTGTTAGCGGAAGCCATCGGCGCCGCATACCTGGAGACTGCAATAGAATCGTACGTGTTTCGCGAACTATATGATAGCACATCTAAACCCATGGCATAGAGCTATCGCTCGTCTTGAATTTGCCGACCCGAAACTTGAACCAAGTCTCCAGCCACTCGAAGTGTTGCGCTCAGTAGACCTCATATGCCATCTGTGGCAGCAATATACGAATATGGCACTGTTTCCACTTGCAGCGTCATCCGTCACTGTTCGGCGTGAAATGACCATCTTCAACAATCAAACTGTAAGCAGGACCGAAGGGGCAGCAAATACGCTGATACAACGCACCATAGATGGCAAGTTCTTGTACGCCGCCTGACAATTTGTACTAACCCCCGTGCAACTCCTAGCTACCATAACTTGGCTTTCTCTGCAGCTCTCGAAACAAAAGAAGAATGACTTCAAACCACGGAATGACGACCTCTCATTTGCTCGTGTCAACACAGAACCTTGCGTAGCTTGTTGCGAGATACTCGAGAAAGTGAGAGATGCAGCGATACAGAATATTAGCGGCAAGAACAGAGAGGCTTTTCTCACCGAAATAGGTGTCTCCTTCCACAGGTTTGTTGCAGTCATTTAGAAGCCATATATGTGATACTCATCAAGTTTTTCAGTCTACTACTTGATCATCTCCGCAAATATCCTGTTAGTGCGACAGGAGGTTTGATGCTTGCTAAGTAAGGGTCTTTATCATTATCGCGTTCCCCCGGCACCAACATCAATTCTTATTGCAGAGACCTCAAATCGTACCAGGATACAGTGGCATCTTTCAATATACCCGCTCTGCACGAACGATTTGAGTTCATCAGACAGCTCGGCAATGTCTTTCTCGTGCGTCCTGAGATCCTCAAGTCTTATATCACAGAAAATTACCTCGGGCGCATCGATTCTGCCTTACTCAAACCCTACCTTGCACAACGAAGTGACTGGGGCCAGTTCGAGACCCGCTTCAACGAGAACGTCGATGTAGAGGATGTTGCAACAGACAGTGCTTCCAAGGGCCTTAAAGATCGATTCAAGATGGCGAAGTTGGGCACGATGGTGAAGGATCTTGAAGGTCTTAAACTCGGTGATGGTATTTCTATGGGTATCCCCAGTGGATTTACTGGGGGCTTTTCTATAGGCGGACGTGGATTGAACAATAACAGTGCCTAGTATACATACATACCTCTGTTGTGTTCGATGGTGGTACATCAAATCGAATCTGGTCGACTATATACTATCTCTAAGGTGCAGTGGATAGTGAAGTGTTTAGTCTAGTAGTGGTGCAAAATCGTACGAATCATCCCACGTCAACTCCTCTGATAACGTCACTCCAATCATCAAGGTGCTTCAGAACCTTGGCACACTTGTTTCTAATATCGACCTCTGCATCCTTGCCTAGTACAAGATATAGAGGCCATTCCCGGCCTGCAGCGCAGCCCTCCCCTTTCACCACATCTACAACAATTTTCATAGCCTTGTCTGGATCGCCTGGTTGTTTCCCAGCAGGCTTAGAGAAGTTCACACGTCCATCAGCACGCTGTTCGTCATAATCTGGGATAGGATTGGAGCAGTCCCACGGGTGACCGAGGATGCCCTCGGTGCGGAATGATCCTGGCTCCACGAGTAGTACCCGGATATTGAATGGCTCCAGCTCTGATGCCAATGATTCACTCATCGCTAGTGAGGCCAAGTTGACTCTTCAGAATTTTTGAAGTCAGAGATTTACTCACTATGTACAGCGGCTTTGCTTGCAGCATAAAACCCTGGAATGAAAATGAGTGAGTGATTCATCATTTTTACTTGCCAAGGCATCGTGGTTTACCAAGGCCCTACGAGTGACAGTGAGCTTCGGTGAATTGGACACAGCGAGTCAAAATGATTTACTCTGGTTTCCGGCTTCCATGCACTCCTGCTGCCGATGACCACAACTGTACCATTGCGTTCTTGAGAATGTTCTTCAGCAAGTAAAAGAATTGGATCCTTGTGAAAAGCACTCACTCTTTCTCATGTGTGGTAACGCTGCATTGCAAACATTAACCACCCCGAAAAAATTTGTTTGAAACTGACGGAGCATAAGCGAAGCGCTGTAATAAACATGGATAATATGAAGAGCGCGGGGGGTTGGTGTACATACCCTCCTTCTTCAAGAAGTGAAGGCAACCCGTAGCCTGCATTATTGACCAAGACATCAATGCCATTCCATACACGAGCGGCGTGATCTATTCGCGTTTTAATTTCCTTTGTGCCAGCATTGACATCAAGCTGCATAAGATGAAGGTTTGGGTGCTGGGGGAAATGTTCAATTTTGCTCAGTGTGCGAGCTGTTGCGATAACGCGATCCCCTCTTGCAAGCGCAAGGCTCGTAAGACGACGACCAAAACCAGAAGATGTCCCTGCCATGAAATGAGATGAATGTAACGATTCATCATGACTGTGAACAAGAAAGCATACCAGTAATCAACCAGACTTTTTGGCCCAACATGAGGAGTGTAATAGTATTGCAATGCTGGTGGGTATTGGAATATATGAATGAGAATTTCCAGGTACTTGTCTTTTGAAGCAAGGGGGGCCGGTCCGGTCGTTTCCAAAGGAGGCCCACTCGTCAATCTTCAGATGATGCGTGCCAGGGACATTGGATGAACCTGAGTACAGCCTGTACATGTGTCATGCTGTCATTAGAACCAGATAAACTTGTGAACCATTTGGGTCAACTCGGAGCATGGCCATGTATGGACTCGGAGTCCGTTTCCATTATAACCTTCACCGCAGTGGTTAAGCGCACAGTTACGCCAGCTCTTCTGTCGGGATTTTTTTTGCGGTGACGTGAAATAACGGCACCTATTTAATGGTCAGTATTGGTTGCATAGCCTGTCTCTGCAATTCAATATGGCTTGAGGTGACTTCTCCTGAACATTGCAGTACTCCAACCTCGTCCGCAAGCGAGCTGTATGCCGTGACCGACTCTGGTACTACGAGTGAACCACTGATGCTGGCACCTTGTGGCGTCCAGAGCTGGGTAGATACTTAAGTTAGAACGTTGACGTCGGGTATTTGCAAGATCTTCGGCGACAGCAAAATGATCCACTGGCAGCCGTCATTAAGATATCAATCATTCACCATTATGACGCTAAATGCCGATATGGACATAGTCTTCGTGGAAATGAAGCAGTGATCTATGACCATGGCCAGACCCAGCGCATGAGAGCGAAATAGTACTAGAGTGCATAGATAATAGTAGCGGGAGACTGCGAGTAGATGAACTTGAAATAGGATACGAACTTTGGTCAGGGGGGATGCAAGATAATCAACAACACGGTGCAGGGACTGATTCGGTAATGCTAATTCAGAGCCAAACGGGGAAGACAGATGTACAACGGCACGGTAGAAAGCACTGCTACGAAAGCGTGGCAGATGCGCATCTAACACAATCGTATAAGTCCTTCGGCATTCAATTCATGAAGTAATAAGCTACACCTTCTCATGTATACGTGACGTGGCGGCCACTAGCTCGTAGATTGCGTGAAAGCTGGACATCCACCCCGATGACCATTTACGAGGTTTCCGGTTCTGGGTAGATCGAATTGGCAATTACTGCGCGAATCATCGCTATGCCACGTCTTGAATATCAGTGTGAGTATTATGCTCTTGATGATCATCAGTAAATATCTTGGAACAGCACTTACTGGCATTGGGCTGCGTTTATCTTCACTGGCCCAATCACTATAATGGACAAGTGGTATGTCACAAGAAAAAGTAGCAACTTGAAAGGTAACCGATGTGAAAGCATACCCGTTATTGGTGCCAAAGACATTTGCTCACCAACATAGGGCCACGGGTGCCTTGTCCTAAAGTTTTTGGCATGTTTGTTCGAAGACATCCTCAAGAAAATGGAATACCCCGTGGATCAGCAGACCACCTGTGGATTACGGCCAGCATCAAGATGCTGACCAGTCCCGCAACATCTGTGCCGGCGGAGGCTGGTATGGCCACATAGTGACACCGTGACACGCCAGCAAGGTTGTCAAAGAACTTCCGGAAACTCTGCCATGTGTCGCCAATGATATTTTCAATGAAAACACAGGCGCGGTAGATATATAGATAATGTGTGCGCGAACATTATACCTGATCTTGTCACGATTCGTTGCACTATGAGTCAGCATACGCGGCACACTCCAAATCAAATGTAGAAGACTATTCTCCTTTAAAAACAGGTTGTCGTTTTTCTTTGAATGCCTGTAAAGCCTCCAACCGATCTTTCGTAGGTAGAAGAACTTCATATGACGCTCTCTCTAAGTCAAGACCTGTTCATCATATGTTAACAACTACCACGATAAATGAAACGCTAAATACCTGATTCCAACGAGAGGTCAGCTGCACGTGAAATTGCCTGCTTTGCAGCTCGAAGCGCTAATGGGGCTATTCGAAAAGACATTGATAATTGAAAATGGGGTTGCCTAGGGGGTGGGGTGGGTGCGTACCGCTTTTGGTTATTTCTTGAGCCAATTCGACCGCCCGTTCGAAGGCTGATGTAGAGGGAGATGATACATAATCCACTATGCCTATGCTCACAGCCTTTGTCAGATCGCGACATAGGGATACAATTCAGAAGTTTTGCTACCCCATTCAAGTGCTTCTTTGGCTGTCAGCATCTTGGCTGTAAAGATCAGGACCTTTGCTTTCGACATGCCCAGTAATCTGACAGCACGTTGAGTACCGCCCGCTCCAGGGATAATCCCGAGGCGTGTCTCCGGAAGGCCTATCTTTGTCACTTCATGTCCTTCAATACAAATCAGGCGGACTCCACTCCATGCAGCGACCGTACTCACCGGCCACACGCAAGTCACAGGCAAAACTCAATTCTAACCCTCCCCCTAATGCGGGACCATCGATTGCAGCGATTGTTGGCATGGGCAAGGCTTCCAATTGACCAAGTGCAGCACGCAAGTCAGAAAGGAATTTCGCAACTTGAATTTGAGACATAGTGCGTCTCTCTGCGAGGTCGGCGCCTGCGCAGAAGGAGCCCATAGTAGTGGAACGTATTATCAGCGCTCGGATGCTGCGTCAAGCTATTCAGTGCAGTCCGCTATTACTAGACAACATGGAATATGAACCTCTTGTCGTACTTAGCGGTTTCTAGACATTCGCGGAATTCCTAACGAGCGAATTCAGCGCGTATGACGGTATTGGAGTTGGATGAACTATCACATGAAGTAATTTCATTGAAATAGCATTCTTTGCCTGTGGTCTGTTGAGGGACAGACATGCTATACCGAGGTGAGACTGGAGAGGTTCGAGGAAGGCTTCGGGTGCCTGTGTTGAGAAGAGCCTGCGCGATTGTCGCGACAGCCCTATACTCATTACTTTCCTAGCGTAGAGCATGTTTGTTCCAAGTGTAGATGAGACCTTCACTCGTCTATCAATTCGATAAGGGTGCACGAAGCCAGCACTAGCCGACGGAACTTGGCCATGGAATGGTCCCGACTCGAGTCTAATAGCGTATTTCAAGGTCCGCCAATTCTCTCAAGCAAAGAACCAATCGAGGTAACAGATCGGCTCATTTTTGTTATGTTTTGCAAACATGTCATATATATTGAATGTGCTATCAGTCATTTATAAGTCGATAATAAAGGGAGTCAATCAAATCGATATCCGTGTTCCAAAGAAAGTGCAATCGTTGAGAAAATCCAAGGTATACGCGCAGCCGCAAGTTTGTACATAAATAAAATAAAGAAAGACGAATCAAACGTGTACTGTGATTTTGATCGACAACATGAAGAATGTCACAATGCACGCATCAAGTATATGATGTTCGAAATAATTTCACATGACGTGCCCGTTCGAAGCGCCCGCGGAGGAACCGTAGAAAGAATCGATGGAGTGGTGGAGATCCGGAGAGTGGTATGCAGTAGGAGGAATAAGCGTACGAGTTCGCTGAACAGATGGCCGCAAGGCAGCTGGTAATTCTGATTCATCATTGTCGAAGGGGTTTGGCATCCCTCCAGTTTCAGCAATCCCTCCATAAGGATCCTGTGCCGCATAAAGTTCCGTCGGGGGGTATGCTATACCATACTCATGAGGAGCGTAAACCTCATGAGGAGCGTAAACCTCATGAGGAGCGTAAACCTCATGTGGAGCGTACACTTCCTGCGGATAGTAGCCTTGGTTTTCATAACCTTCACTACTGTTAGCTGCCTGCCCGTAGTACGCGTCCTGCTGGGAATAAAAGTGTGCGGCAGGCGGTACAGTAACTTCCATGGAGTTGCCGAAGTGATCTATGTCCCGGGATTCTTCAGCATCTTCAACAACGAAATTCTGACTCTGAGAGGGCTCTACAGAATGTTCTGGCTTCTTTTCCAGATACTCCATGTCGTCCTCATACGAGCGAGAGACACGGCGTCTTGCAATCATCATTCCAGCTCCAATAACTCCAGCAACTCCAACCAGGCCAACAACAGTAAATGTTCCGGCGACTACTCCTGTATTGGAGAAGAATCTAGATGGAAATATCAGTTACTGATTGGAGATGAGTAATATATGAGGCCTCACCCAGAATTGGAAGAGGACGTGCTCGAAGGAGTAGATGAAACTGTCGTTCCAGTTGCAAAGCTGGTAAATGTGCCTGTATATACTGACACGGACGTGAGTCCTAGTGGTTGTGCAGCTGGCGTTATTGCAACGACAGGAGGTTCTGCGGACGTGGACGTGGTCTTGGATGTGGACGTAGACGCAGACCCGGAAGGTTGAGGGGAAGATTTAGAAGAGGAATTCGGTTGAGAAGAGGGGGAAGACTGAGAAGAGGTAGATTGTCTGTAATAGGACGTAAATCTGCTGTAGACGAAAATACTAATAAAACTGACGAAATAGAAGTCCCATCGCTTGTGGTAGGGATGGCGGCACTGGTGGTACTGGTCGACGTAGGGATGGATGGAGGAGTAGGGCTAGAGGAACTCGAGGTTGTGGCCAATGGATTTGTTAGCGGATTTGGAAAGGGATTAGACGTAGGTGATTGTAGAGCGGGTATCGGAGGAAGCGAGGTAGTTGCACTGAGCACCGTGACGGGCGACACGGCGCTGGTGATACTGGACAACAAGCTCTGACTCGGAGTTGTTAATGGTAAAACTTGATCTCTGGCAATCATATCTAATGGTGCTCTTCTGCGCCAGGCATGATGGGCTCGGAAACCATGAACATTCGCTGACTCTGCGAGAGTGGCGGTAAATGAGAGTACGAACAAGATTGTAGTGAAAAGGAGTGTGCGAGCGTGCTCCGGATGAGAACAACGCATCGTATGGTGGTAAAGAAAGAAAGAGGATGAAAGCCGTGCCCTTTCAACGCTATGCGTTGTTGGTTGGCCTGAAAAACGAAAAGAAACAAGATATCAACAGATCGTGATGGTTGACACTGTCCGCTGCTGCATTCTGTTAATTATAGCATTACTAGCGCCCAAACTTAACCCCGTCCAATTTAGTAATCCAATAGTAATCCACTTTATCCACGGCAACTCAGGGCGTTTAACGTTACCCAAAATTTTTATGAAAATCCATACACGTTCGACTCGAGCCTTGCTTGATATCAACGTTCTAACATGCCGGTGCACGGTGAATCGTGTTAGACTGTATTGTGCAAATCCTGTCCTCCGTTGTTGTACCAAGTATAAAACATGGTAACGAAACAAAAGACATCAAGACTCGGATCATCGGGCCTAAACCCGTCTCAGTCAGACTGAGATTATATATCGTGCAAATCCTGTCCTCCATCGTGATTATACATCACCATTGCACCAAGTACAAAAAATGACAACGAAAAAAGAAAAAGAGACATCAAGATATTATCAGGATCATTGGGCAACATTCCCTCCTTCATAACCTAAACTCGTCTTCGCAAATGCTCGACTGACATCTTTCAATGAACGACCGCTCACTTCAATACAGAATTGCTGCAGTCGCCCATCTTGAATCATCTCAGCAATTTCTTGCTGGGAGAGCCTGCGGTTGCAACGTCTCTGTAGTTTACCGGTGACGACTTCCTTAGCCTTGACGAAAATTAAAGTCAACGATCCTCGTATAAGGCTCCTCAGACTTACTCTATCACCCAGAGTGGACCAGACCTCGAAAATGTCCTTCACGACCCATTTCTGGGCGCCAATATAATACCAGACTCCCTGTTATACATGATCAAATAAGATAATCAGAACCTAATCCTAGTTGACATGGATAGCTTACCCTTTTCACGGGAAAGGTGAACGTGTGGAGAACACGATCTCTAGGGCAGTTCTTGACGATGTACGCATGGACTGTCTCGTTGGCGCCTGGGGTGCCCCAGTTCATCAAGAAAGATCCGCCTGGTCCATCCATCGAGAACGGGTCGTGGACAAATGCCATGTTGTCGACAATCTGTAAAGGGAAACAATGTTCATCCGCCTGTCCAAGGCTGAATATAGGTTGAACATGGATGAACTATTGGTAAGAATACTAGGTACCTTTCTAGAGAATATATCTGTACAACATTAGATTGCACGTATGATATGCTCGAGCTACTCACTGTATCTTCGCCAAGGTTTAGCTGTTCCTGAAACATTTGCATGTCAACAGGATAAATGACTTCCGCACTCCGGGGGCTGCGAGATGAAGTCAGCTTCCAAACATCGCCGACACCGCCAGAAGACTTTTTCGCAACGTGTACGGACAAATCCGTAGATGGTTCGGATGAGCTGTTGGATTCAGATGATCTCTGCTGATTGCTGAGATCAGATATAGTTCCACCGCTTACGCCTGTCCTTGATGAGCGAGAATGTGAAGTTGAGGCTGGAGATGAAATTGGCACAGTCATCGGGGTTTTGGGCGAGCTACGCTCTTTTCCCTTGGACATTGGGCGCGCAGTCTTGCCAGAACCAGAGCTGTTAGAGGACTTATCGTTCCTGTGACTTTGGCCTGGTGGGGACGGGGAGGCGCCAATATCCTTGTATTTCGGCTCAGGCTCTGCTTGTAACAGCAGTGAAGCACCTTCATTTGGGCTATCTCCAAAATCAGGCTATAATATGAACCTTGATCTCAGGGACGTAATACGACAAAGAAGGTAGATGTGTTACCGCCAAGTCCATATCCATTAAGAGATCGCGCATTACACGCTGTACATGTTGCAATTTACGATATGCGGCGTCTCTGCTCTCGATTACGTTTCTTGTATCAGGCTTGCTTAGTTCGAGTAGACGTTTCAATTCCTCGTTACGAGCTCTGAAGGCGTTGTTCTCCGTGGCAATATCATGATGTCTGGTTTCCCATTCCGTAGCTCGGGTGTTGTGTGCTCTAGATTCGTCCACTGAGTCGATAATCATTTGGTTGAGCTCATTGCCTATACGGCGGAGCGAATCTGTGACCTGCATCCACTGGCTCCGCTGTAAGTGACCGTGTTGATATGGTAGAAATAAACCCACAGACCTCTTCGTGAACTCTGCGCGCTCTGGATAGTGGAGAACGCGCCTGCAGTTCGTTGGTCATGAGTGTTATGAAGTAAAAGCACCAGCCGACTAGCGTCCAGCATGCCTGCCAGTTGACGTTGCCGACAAATGATAAATGGAATCCTTGAGTACGTGACCATTCAAGTGAAAAGGTTCCGGCACGAATACCACTTTCTATTACTGCGCCGCCATCAGCGGCCCTCCAGATCCATAAAGATTCGTCCCGGCGCGCATTTGGCAGGTCACCGGCCTTATCGATTGATGCATCCAGTAAAGCCAGGCCAGCGCGTTATGACTGAGCTGCTCAAGAGCGTCACGAGGATGGCGAACATAAGGCATCCGATTGTTGATGTGCACACCCATGTTTACTTGCCTCAGTACGCAGCTGAGCTTCGTGCAAGAACCTCAGCTCCTCGTATCTTGAACTGGACAAATGGGGTCAAGACTGAAGAAAGATTGTTGATTTTGGATGGAGAGCCAAGCGGTGGTCGCCCAGTTGGTCCTCAGGTATGTCTACTATTTCAAATGAAGTACAAGCACATTCGCTTAGAATATATCAGTACTGGGATCGAGATGAGAAGCTTGAATTCATGCGGAGGCATGGTATAAACATCTCATTCGTGAGGTTTGTTCGTTCGCTTCTTCGGATAGTACGGAGTAACCGATCACCCTCGCCGGCAGTTCAGCCAATCCATGGCTCGATTTCTTGCCAGCGGATCGGGCTCAGACGCTGGCTCACGAACTGAATAATAACCTCGAAGAGTATTGTGCAACTTCTCCCCCTGCCGAAGGATTCTCTGGTCTCAAAACGCTCTACGGCTTCGGCCTTCTCCCTCTTGTCCCGGATGTAGAAGTGTCTGCCATCGTTCAAGCTATAGAATATCTTAAATTACTACCTCACATCCGAGGCATCATCATGGGAACCAAGGGCATCGGGAAAGGTCTCGATGACAGTGCGTTAGACCCAATCTGGGACGCTATTCAGGCAGCGAGGCTTGTCGTCTTCATACACCCACACTATGGTGTTGACAGCACAGCATTTGGAGAGAATGATAATGGACATGTTTTGCCACTGGCCTTGGGCTTTCCTTTCGAGACAACCATTGTAGGTAATATTTCGCGACTAATCATCAAGCATGAGTTTTTACATCGATGTTTAGGCCATCACGCGCCTCATTCTCTCAGGTGTTTTAGATCGTTTCCCGAACCTCCGTTTACTCTTAGCTCATTCTGGGGGAGCCTTGCCTCAGCTGTCATCTCGGTTGGCTTCGTGCATCCAACATGATCCTATCGTTGCGAATAGGTTGAAGCATGATTTAAGATATTACCTTGGCCAACTCTATTTCGACGCCGTCGCGTACGGGCCCGAGGAGTTGACTTTCGTTAGCCGAACCATTTCTCGTGCATCTGCGTTCAAGAGTGGTGGAGGGACTGTTGATCCTGTGGTCGGAAGCTCCAGACTATTGTTTGGTACCGATCACCCATTCTTCCCGCCACTTGAAGCGAGCCAAAAATGGCCAAGCGTAGAAAGCAATCTGGCAGCTATCCGGGGAATGCCTGGTGTAGATTCCAAGCCGGAACACCAGGCTAACATCCTAGGGTTGAATGCGCTTAGACTTTTCGATCTCCATGATCAAGTATACACATAATGTATATCCAAGTGTCTATTAATGAGGTATCTGGATCTTCAAGCTGAAATCTATGTGTTGGACGGACTGATGAACAATACTTGTGCTGAGGATGTCGATGTCTATCATGATACGGTAAATATAGGCCATCAAGAAGCAAACGTCCACTAACCATTGATTGCACGTTCTTGCAGGTTAGCCTCGGTGATGTTACCGCTCGTCTCGAAGAGGAACTTCCGTTTCCCAGCCCACTTCTCCTTGAGCTTTCGAGCGACGCTCACAAGATATTCCCCTTCAATATTGTCCAGCATAATGATGTCAGCGCCCGCTTCGATTGCCTCATCTGCTTCAGCTTCCGAACCAACTTCCACATCAAGCAGCAAGCTAAAGCCGCCCACTGCGCGGGCCTGTTGGATTGCAGCGGTGATCGATCCTTGGACTGATATCAGCGGATCTTTAATTAAGTACTTCGTAAACCGAGGCGCACCAGATGACCATATATGATTATCCTTGAGCATGATCATACTCGAAAGATCGTGGCGGTGAGGATCAATACCTCCTACAATCATTCCATACTTTTCGACCAACCGAAACCCTGGTGATCGTGAGCGGACCAAGCTGCTTGAAGGGGCAGCTTACCTGGAGTTGTCTTCCTGGTTCCAGCAATAATACCCTTGTAACCATAACCTACCGCAAGATCTTTGATACGTTTGGATCTTCCCAGGAAGACGAGGACGTAAACACGATAGGTATTAGGTACAATCAGGACAAATGCGCAGCTTACTTCGTTGCAATGCCGCTGCACCTAGCAAGCATGTTCAAGGCGATACGCTCGCCAAGCAGAAGGTGCCTTGCTTTGCCTCGAACAGTAGCGATGTGCTTGATGGGCTCGAAAGTCTCGCCCTCCTCCAAGTGCCATTTAACCCTGCAGGTCCATCAATCACAGGGAATTGATGACATCGTCATGAGAACGTACTCGCATCCAAGCTGTGCGAAGACTTCAGTGAAGAAGGGTCGTCCGGCCAAGACCGCAATCTGGTTGCCTTTCCCGAAAAGAAATGCTTCACGGTGAACCTCACCGACAACGTAACCACCGTAATCAAATGATGGTGTATCCTCTGCAAGCCAACCCGTGACCTGAGCCTTCCAACTGGGAGGAAGTAAGTGTTCGTAAGAATTAGTTGACATTGTTGATTCAACCGAGGAAGGCGAGGTGAGAAAAAATAGGAACGTCTTCCTTCTTCAAGGTCTGAAACAGGAGACTACTACTAACCCCACCCAGTGAATGGTGAGAGATCTACCACTGAATGTGATTATCGACAAAATCTCGAGAGCAAGGCGAGAAGCATGTACGATATAGTAATGAAGAATGAATTGCTGCAACGATGTAAGGGTATCAGGAAGATGTCCATATCACAGCAACCATAATGCAAATTTGCACAAAAAAAACACTACACGAAGAGAAAATATCCAAGTGTCTAAGGATAACATGTTTTTACGCGAATGTTCAGAAATGAGTGGTGATAAAGGCAACGCAGGCTGCAACAGCGGTGAGGAGACCCGTCTCTACTTTCATTCCAAGGATCGCTGCGCTGCTACTAGTGGGGGTTGTGTTGGTGTCTGAACTGGTGGTAGACGCTGCTACAGCAGTGGCCGGAATTGTCGCGGTAGTCCCAGAGCTACGAAAAATTGGTCAGAGATAATAACTTAATATGAAATAAAACATACAAAAGAGAAGTACTAGTAGTTTTTGCGCCAGAACCCGTGGAAGAAGTTGAAGTCGACGAGCCAGAGGTGATGTTGAATTGATTGGACTGAGCAAGCAGGGTGTCGAGATGTTGAGCATCTGCAGCAAGGTTGACACGGAAGCCAGCGCCCACAGGCCAGCCTCCACTTGGAGCATTGCAGACGATTGAGCCCAGGGTCCCGTCAACAAGTGCATTGAGCACCTGAGGGTTCAGGACGCCATAGTTCTGAGGAAAGAGTATTAGAATTCTTCAGTAGAGCGTATGCCAATACACATACCACGTTGGTCAACACCACCGTGAAGTTCGCTGGGTCGGTGTCAACGCGGTTCCAAGTCAGGACGTTGGGTCCAGCAGTTGTCCAACCCTCGCTATCACCTGGAGAGGTGACCTCGTATGCAAAGGCAGACGCGATGGAGGCCAAAAAGATGACGGCGGAAAAGCGCATGCTTGCAGAACCAGTAAGTAGGTGGTGGGGGGGGCTGAAAAAGAGTCTGACTTCTTTTTTGAAGGGTAACGAACGTGGTGAAAAGGGCAATTAAAAGAGTTCCGCCTAGTCTCGCTTGGATATATTACGTCTGGGTCTAAATTTGATGCCGACCCGAATAAGTTATCGCATGTTTGGTTCCCACGCCGTGTTGGACAGATCGCCAAGACATGCATGTTGATGACAATGATCATCAAGGGGGTTTCAGCCCGTGCATTAACAAACGATATGATCTGGTGATCTAAGACATTATAGGGGGTTCAAACGTTCACCGTATATATAACGTGTGATAAGCGCGAGAGATAACTATAGGCCTGAGCTTGTTCGGGCTCCCAACATTGTCTAAGACCCGGAATTCGTCCATGCATGAGCACCGGTGACTGAGAAATACAATGCGCAGAGAACGCCCGACACCATCGGAATGAAGTACCGGTCGTTCATTGCTGCATGCGTCAAACACCATCACAATCATGTTTGAGACTTGAAATTGAAGACGGAAGTCCACAAACAACGAGGTTCCCGTCTCGCCGTGCACACTAGTGTTCAAACTTCAACCAGCGGACCGCTGAGCACGGATGATCGCCATGGAATTAGCTCTAACGTAGTCAGTGATATAGCCATACGACATTAAGCACTCGCCAGTAACTTCTCCGCGTCCCGCCAAAGATCACTTTGTCCCCATATGCCAGAGACGGCCGTAAAAATGATCCAACATGACGCGTCAGTCATGCCAATCTTGGATGACACATCGTCAGGCACTCCAGGCTTCTCGGCCTTCAGTCGCCGGACAAGCAGTTCCAAACAAGCGCGGGCTAGGCTCCTGAGTTGACTCATGTCATCCGCTGAAATGAAGTCTTCCACTTTAGCCAACAACACAAACATCCAACGTGCATGACTCTCAAGGATCGTAAAGCTTGGTTCAGCGGGGTGCTGCAGGTGGATGTTCATCCAGTGAGCGAAGTACATAAGAAGGTGCAGGGATAAATTCTGCACTCGATTTAGCTTGAGACGCTTGTAAGGCGCTGTCATACGCACATGATCTATTTTTCGCAGCAATGAGGGGGTGATCTCACGAGGCTGTTCCGGGCCTGGACGAGTCAGCAAGGAACTCGTGCTTCTGGATTCTGTCTGCACTGGTGACATAGATAAGCCAGAACCATTTGAACGTGGCTGAACTGCGGATGATGGTGTACCTGCTAGATTATCCTCCGCGAGTTCAACGTCGCCTTCTGAATTGATACGCCAGGTCTCGTGGGTTTCGTGAATATTTTGCTGGTTATTGGTGTTATATTCCACCTCCGACTCGTCGCAAAACGCTGACATGCGACCATAGGATCTATTTTTTGTCGACATTTTCTTTGTCTTTTTGGGTGGGTTCCAGTCTGATTCCGGTGAACCGGCAAGAAATGACCACCATAGATCTCTTTCTTTCTTATCTGGCATAACCTTCCGTGATCCGTGAGGATCGATATGCACGTGGATAGTTGGTTGAGCGATGTTCTGGAAGTCAAAGTTCATCATCCATTCAGGCACACAAGCCTGACGGCGAACAGTTACCTTTCTGAAATTTCGAAAGTGTGTTAAGAAAGTAGAACGCCAAAGTTCAGAGGGAAGGTTGCTATGTGAGCTGTCGGATTGCACGAAATCAAGTGGCGGAACGGGTTCGGGCAGTTCGTACGGGTTAGTGACCCTTGTGACATGCGGTAGCCGCCGTGCATCGCGTCTGTGGAAGTATGAACAGAGAATCAAATGCAACCATGTCAACTTACCTAACCGTGAACAGATATTCCAGTCCATCTTCTGGCTCGCGGTCAAAGTTGATAGGTAGATTCGCCACAGGCAATATTTGTTTTCCGAAAGTTGGTTCATCATCATCTGAATCATATTCTATATCTTCCCATTTGCGTTTGAGACCAACGGGAATCATTTCAGTCTTGTGTATGGCGACGTAAGTGGCCGGCTTCAAGCTAGGAAGATATGTGGTATGATAAGTTGATGCTAGGCGAGATTTCTTGGACCGCGGGAAACGATACCCAACTCCAAACCAAAATTTTATTTGCACACAGGGGTGCTTCCAGTCTCTCTGTATGCCTCAACACTACGATTCCATACATTTCACTATTCATTTCTTGCAGGATGTCTACGACAGAAACGATGGACCTGATAGCTGACGACGACATTGACACAGAAACATTGCAGGCCCAAATCAATATGTCCATGTCATTTGCAGAAGATCTAGTCTCATCGTGGATACAGCCTGCACATAAAGCTAATCTCAGCAAAGGCGCAGTGGACGCTCAAAAGTTACTCGACGAGCAACTACGTAGGCCTCCTAGGTGTGTCATAGTATAAATGACGATTGTGGTTTCTATAATTGACGTGCATTACCGAGTAGACTGGGTGTCGGTGCTCCGATACCGGAATCTTCTACAACAGCTCGTGACGCTGCGCGTCTAAAGCATCACTTGATAGGGAAAGGACTCAAGCGCACCCCCAAAGATGATACCACGCTTAATCCGGAACATCATTCAGAAGACGAAGAAAGAAGGGGAGGGACGGTTAGAAAGAAAATGAAACTGGATCCGTTCGCAGTAAGATCGAAGACGAAAGCGAAAATGCTTGGGACCTCTGTGACGCAATCAACCCATAAGCCGAGTTCCCCGCATCGGCAGGCGGATGGTGGGGATAACAAGACCGGGGGTGATGATGATTTGGAACAAGGACGCCACGTTACTTCCATATCGTCCTCACTTGAAGCGAGTAAAATTAACTTAGACTCGTCTGTGAAGAAGAGGGGGAAGAAATCACGGAAGCGCTCTGCTACTGATAGCGAACGGAGCATGAGCTTCCACGAGCAGGCGATCCCCCATTCGCAGTCTATTACCACCCCAGACCGATCCGGCGATCAAAATCTCTCTGTCAATTCACCTCCTCTCGGCAGTAAACCGTATTCCGTCTCATCTTCGACATCCGGTCCATTTTCAATGGCTGCTTTGCAAACAGGTGAGTCATCGTTCTGCTATTTCAATACATGGACGTAAACAGAAGCACAGAGCTGAAACGGGATGGCGAACTGAATGTCCCGGATATTTCGACTCAATATCCTTCACCACTTCGGCATGCACCTCGTCATCCAGAGGCTCTGCGTTTAACGGTTCCGCTGCTGAATCTTGACGGACCGCCGGACCGAAGCGATGGATCCGGTAAGGATGACAACCCGGATAATTCCAAGAAGAAGCGCAAAAGGCGCAAAAAGAAAAAGCATCCTTTTCAAAGTTGACGTGGAAAGTTAAATTCTCGCCTATCCACTTCGTAATTGCCCATGCAGATCTATATCTCGCATCCACGAGTATCATATTTTCATCTCTTCCATCTACTGAAGCCAAAGCACCCGACCCGAGACTGCCATGTGCCTGGCGATTTATTGCATATTGCTGAAATCTAGTTCATCACATTGTCACTCACATCCCCTTCCCGTATAATGCACAGACATTCCGATTCGAGTGAGTCTTATCATTATAGTTTCGACTATCAAATAACAGTCCTAAGAGAGGCAAATATAAGTTACAGCATAACTTCCGAGATAAATAAGTCCCTGCAGGTGGTGTGTTCAAATACATAATATGATAATAGATAGTACCTCAACACGTCAGGATGTAGCGTGATCATTTTCTGGAAGACCTCATTCGCGCGACACCTCGTTTAGAATTATATGACGGTTGTCGTGAAGTTTGTCTTGTAGGTCGTCGGCTGATCCGAGCCGCTTGTCGGCTGCTGTTGCTCTTATGAGAACTGTGAGAGCTTCGAGCCAGTCCGTCGGGTCTAAGAGCCCGTCTTGTCTTTTTTGTATTTCCAAAGCTGAACCATGAGAATAGTCCCGGCTTTGCCCGGTCGTTTTTGGCTCTCTTCGCAACCTTCTTCTGTCGTTTGATGGCTTTAGCTTCGCGCATTTCGCGTATGCCTTCTCGTCGAAGTTGCTCATTTCCACTAAATGTAGCGCGCCATTTGACTAGCCATCCATGGAAGACTGAAGGTTTAGGTCTGCTCCGGCGACGACCATCGGAGTGGTAGTGCTTTTCTGGTCATTAGATTCACAGACAAAAAAGATTTGAAGATCAACTCACTGATGATTTCCACACAACCTCGAATTTCATCGCAACGAGATATTAGAGTACTGATAGTGACACGAGGGAAAGATTGATAAAAGCAAAAATGGCTTCTGGGCTCTGACTGCGTGCTTTAATAACTGTAACTGTCAGTACTTGGCCGCCAGGCAGCTGGCGGCCTTTGTAAATACCAAAAACATGCCATTCGGCGATGCGGCCACCGAAACGTGATCTCAGCACTCCTTAGGCATGTTCCTAGGCAGATGTCAACGGCAGCCACGCCGTTACGGTCCACGCTTAGTGTTGGTTGGTGCCTAAGGAATCGGAAATGGCGGCAGGCAGGCAAGCGCGCCCTTGAGTCACGTGGCACCCTCGGGGCAATCAACTCGTTTATGAGCACTAAGCGCACCAATAAGTTGAAGTGACACCGTAACCAACGGTATTGCAACGGTCCGTGATATTATCCGTTCATGCTGTATATCGGATGAATGCGGGGCGATTGACCAGTCTAATGTTTTCAAGATTGACCACGATCTTCGCAAAGTTTGCGGCTTTAGGTACGTCCAGTTCCCGGTGCTTATCAATCTTTCTATTGCATGTTCCGCTCTCCACGCCTTCTATCAACACAATCCGTCCCATTTGCAACTTGGGCCGCAAACTTTGCATGTTCGTATATTGATATTTTTTGACCCAGCTCACGATGATGGTCTGGTAAGAAGTCTTCAGCGTACATCGATATCGATGACGTTGTTCGAAGATAGCCTTTACACTGCATGCTGCACCGACACATAGACTCTGCCTGTCTCTGTCAGCTTGTGGTGTGTACTTGAGCGACTCGGGTGACTGCAATACCCGGAATGTTCACGGACTTACTAGCGTATCACCGAATGAGGCCTCACACTTGCCTTATTTGGATAATTTTCAGTATCTCACGTTGCGAGAAGAAGGATCGGAGGGAACAGCACAGGATTACTGGGGAGGGTACCCCCGGATATGACGTAAGCCACGTCCGTCTCGTTAATAGTGATCTCAAAAATATAGCGTATTTTCAGCGTTATGACTTGGGGTGGCGGTGAACGCGCTTTTCATAACTGTTGTAAAATTGACTTCTCCACTGCACTGCTTTCATATCTTCTTCGTGTCCCGCTCGAAATTGGCTGTGATGAAGCCGTTTACCCAACGTTTACCACACCGCCATGTTTCTACCTCACAGAACGCTGAACCATGGTGACCACAAACACGGCTACTCCATCCTCTCCGAGCCGTGCTCGGAGGGCAGAATAGTCCTTGTATGAGGAGGTACAAAACCAACAATGAATTTGAGGAGGACTTTAGACTTTCTCGCAGGTTTTCCAAGATAAATCAGTTAAACAACATGGGCTGGAAGAACGTCGACACAATCATCGAGGGCAAACTCTATCTTGGAAAGTAAGTATGCTGCGGATCCGAACTGCTGTACAGTCCAGACTCTGATTTTTTGATTTCTTCATCCAGTATCCATGCAGCAAGGTCACCGCGGTCGTTATCGGAGCGCAATATTTCTCATATTGTCTCCGTTTGCAACGACCCTATCCCTTCGGAGCTGCCCGAAAGTGGAATTACCTTTCTTCGAATTCCTGTAGAGGATGTCGACACTGCTGATCTCCTGATACATATGCCCGCTGTGTGTCAGTTCATTGATCGAGCCCTACAAGCCCGAGGGGTGGTGTTGGTACACTGCCTGCAGGGTTTATCTCGCAGTGCGGCAGTAGTCGCGGCATACCGTTAGTTGTCTTCCTGCCCAGTTCAGCAGCGGTCTAATTGAATGTCTCTCCTAGTCATGTACACGAAGCGCATAAACGCGACGCAGGCCATGGACGAAGTTAGAACAGGTCGGTTCCACTATATTTTTCAGTGAGCACGATGAGACTCACTGGCCTGAATTAGCCCGTGAACAAGTCTGGTTCAACGCTGGTTTTCAAGAGCAGTTGGTTCTTTTTGAACTCTGCAGATACGCTCCCAGCCCCTCCTGCGGAATTTACCGCTCGTGGCGGCAGAGGGTCAGCAACGCCCTACGGGGTAATTAAGAAACTGGGTTGTCGCTCAATTGAGATGGCGGCATACCTGGAAAAGTAAGCTAATCTCCAAAGCCGCTCAATTGCATACCTTCCTAGTTTCATCATAAGATACTCTAATTCAAGTCCTACAGAACACAGTGTACAGAACATAGTGGATCGTTTATCTTGTTGTACAACACGTCTTTTTGCATCTTTCCCTGCAGCATCATCATGTTTTCCGTGTAGCTTGACTTTACTTTGTATCATATGTTTCTTCATCGCTCTCGTCCTGTAAGTCTTACGTCATACATTACCCTACCTTTTTGTACTGTCAATGTAATGTCATTCACTACCATGTGCTCAGACCTGCCACGATGGCCGACAAATACAACCCGAGTAAGATAGACTTTGTCGTGTGTCCATTAGTGCTAGATCTTAATCTGAGGTTGTGATTAAAGCTAATCTCATCGTGAATCTGCGGATATATAAGTCGGTCTAGTCGGTCCTCTCAAAGCGCTCGGCCTGCAATTGCTCATGCGTGGCAAACATATCGAATGAAACCAGACACTATGGCAACATCAGATACAGGATAATAGCAAGTCTCGACCAGTCGCGAAGCAGTGTGAAAGCAGACGGGACACTGGCAGCAATTGACTCATATCAAGCATCTCACCACAGCTGCCGGAATTTGTGAGTCAGGATCTAGGTGATTCGTGTAAGCGCAGCAGTCTACCAGGGACACGTATTGAAAACTCTCTTGGACGTGTCACGAGAATACTCAATATAAAGGTGTTCATGGCCAGACGATTAGATCACCGCAGAAACTCTTTCAGACAACATGGGACTTGTTATTTCTCACATTTTTTCAGGGTTATTCACCCAACAGGAGACAAGTAAGTGCCATACACAAAGTCTCAATCAAAACGGGCTACTTAACAAATTCTACAGGATTACTGATGGTATTGTCTTGAACAAGATGTTGAGACCGATACTTACAGGATCAATAGCTTGGACTCGACAATGCGGGTAAGACAACGATACTCTACAAGCTGAAGCTCGGCGAGGTTGTCACGACCATTCCTACAATAGGTAAACAGGTTAGTGTGACCTACCGGCCTTATTTATCACATAAATGCAGGATTCAACGTGGAAACGGTTGCGTACAAGAAAATCCAGTTTACCGTGTGGGACGTCGGGGGTCAACAAAGGATTCGTCTTCTCTGGCAGTACTGTATGACATTCACTATGTGGTCGTGCAAATGGTTTCTCATCAATATCCAGACTTTAATGGTGCAGAGGGCATTATTTTTGTGGTCGATTCCAGCGATCGCGATCGCATTTCAGAAGCGAAAGAGGAACTTCACATGCTGATGAACAACGACCAATTACGGGACTCGCTTTTGCTTGTGTTTGCGAATAAGCAGGACATGCCTGGCGCTATGAGCGCGGGTGAACTCACCGATAAACTGGAATTGCGGAAGCTCGGACGGAGAACGTGGTACATCCAGGTACGCATCCCTCGTCTGTGTGGCAGCCCTGCGTTGATGTGCTGCAGTCTACTTGTGCAACTTCGGGCGATGGCTTGTACGAGGGCCTAGAATGGCTGGCTACCAATCTCAGGAAGCGTCGCTGGTAGGTAGATCATGGTTCTCTGTGTGGTTCAGTGGTAGAACGAGGGGTTTCGTAGTATGTTCGCAATATAGTGCATTAATGTTATTAGTCTTGGTAATGGAGAGGGTATTATCGTTCGCTGCATGGCCCCCTTATCAAGGTCCGCGTTAAGGCTGTTAGTTTAATAGTTGGCGATGACCAGCAGACGTGGAAGACCAAGAAGGGAACCGCCACCGGCGGAGTTCAAAAGGGTTGTTCACACACGACGACAAACTTGTTCTTGACCTCTAGTTTACAACTCATTAACGTCCTTACACTTCCTAGCTCAACATGGGTCTCTCGGTGTCACGTCTCCTTGCTGGTCTTTTTGGCAAGAAGGAGATGCGTAAGTCTCCACCATCTATACCATGATCCCCGATATCGACTAGAAACTGACTATTGTATCTTCTTCCAGGAATTTTGATGGTCGGAAATTGAGTTTGAGTCACAATGTCGTTCGCTAACTTTTATCCAGGTCGGTCTTGACGCCGCTGGTAAGACTACCATCCTGTATAAGCTCAAGCTGGGCGAGATTGTAACTACCATCCCCACCATCGGCAAGCTTTCCTCATTTACCTATGATACAAAATCCTCTAATTCTGCTGCAGGATTCAACGTTGAGACTGTCGAATATAAAAACATTTCCTTCACCGTGTGGGATGTCGGAGGACAAGATAAGATCCGACCTCTCTGGAGGCACTGTATGCTGTCTTTCCATCTACGTCATCACCGAGCTCATTAGATTTCTTCAGATTTCCAGAACACGCAAGGTATCATCTTCGTGGTTGACTCGAACGATCGGGAACGTGTATCGGAGGCTCGTGAGGAACTTCAGCGAATGTTGAACGAAGATGAGCTGCGGGATGCTCTCCTTCTTGTTTTCGCAAACAAGCAAGATCTCCCCAACGCCATGAATGCGGCAGAGATCACTGACAAGCTTGGATTACAAGCTCTTAGGCAGAGAACGTGGTACATCCAAGTCCGTCGTTTATCTCTCAAATCATTAGATCCGCTGACAGTAGACGCCGTTAGGCTGCATGTGCCACTTCTGGTGATGGACTGTACGAGGGTTTGGAGTGGTTGGCGACCAACATTAAGCGTCGGTCTTAAGCAATATGTGGTTTTCTGTCGTGTTTGGATCTTGCGCGCGCATTGTCTCCCGATCCTTACGATGTCGAAAATTATGTGCCCGTCTGCTATTTCTTTACTCTGCCTTCGCTTCCACTCCCTCTTGAATTACCCGTTTTCTCTTGTGTTTTGTAAATTTTGAGCCTTAGAGGCTGATATGCACTGCTCTCAAAGCGGATCAGAAAGGTGTGCACACTGCAAGGCTCGACATAAAAGGGTATACGAGATGTATCATCGGTTTTCTCCAGGAAATACCCGCCCAACGGCTTCTGCTTCCTTCCTCCGTCTGTCTCCTCTT